TTCTCCAGGTGCTGGTACCTCAACCCCTCCAGCGGTCGAGGCCGTGGAAGGGGCAGCCTGGTCCATCCCAAGAAGAGTGATGGAATGATATGCATTACTGTCGGCGTTGATGCCGAGAACTATGAATTTACAAGTTATACCAATTGCAAAGCAGTACAGTACAGTACAATAAACTTCACCCTGCAAAGTGCGACGGGCGAGCCATTTCGAAAACAATGAAATATAAGACTTCAAGATGGATTTCTGTTGACAAAGGGAACTGGTCCGGATTATATCGTCGGATCTGCGAGTTCTAAACGTACATATGCAAAAAAAAGAAATCCCCGCAAGCCACGTGTGGGCTAACGGTATCAAACCAAAATAACCTTCTAGTGACCCTTACTCACCAACTGCTCCAGCTTCTTACGGCCTTCACCAATCTTATCTTCCATCATCTGGCGAGTCATCTGGCTGTGCGCAATGCTAGTGTACCAGATGCGCTCTGCCCGCTCGCGAGCAGCCAAGTGTTGATCCGCGACCGCAGGGAATTTCTTCTCATACTCCCAGGCCAAATCAGAGATGTTACGCATAGTCACGGGAAGAAGAGACCAGGCAGCGACGGTGCCGAAGGCCAGAGGGGACATGGTGCGAAGGAGGATACCGCGGTTGCGTGACACAATGGAGCCGGCCATGGCGGCCACAACAACGTAGACACCGCCTGGGGTCAGGTTCTCACCCGACTCAGCAGAAGGCGCGAGCGACGCAACGGTGTTGGTGAACGCATTTTCGATGTGAAGGGCCCGGGAAAGGAAGCTGTTGAAGCCGTTCTCTGCGGCAAGGGAGTTGTTGTAGAGGAAGAGACGGGCTTGTCGGACCTGAGCGGTCAAGATATCTGTCGGAGTAGGCGAAGAGGGAGCTGAGGGCAACAAGGGTAGGGAGATTTCCTTGGTAGGAGCCTGTTCCACAGGTGCAGGTGCAGGCGTAGGCGCGACGGGCTTAGAAAGCTCGGGGATATCAGATGGGATGTCGTCGTAGATGGGTTTCCGCTGCATCGGGCAAGTCATCTTATGTCAGATATGTTCATTTTGAATTCGAAGTTGATTGATGGGATAAATGGGGTATCTCACGTCGCGAGCATCTTCCGCAAAAGCTGTCTGCTTGGGGTACAGAGCCATGCCTCCAGCGAGGAGGGTGGCTGCGATCGGAGCCACAGCCCGCTAGGAACGTGTCAGCACGAGGTTGACCAGTCAATTGCAAGCGAGATCATCGGGTATGGCTGAAGACCATTTTACATACTTGCTGCAACATCGGGCGGAACGACATCCTGGATGTGGGGGAGGTGAGGTGAGGTAGACTGAGTTGAGGATGAAGCAAAGTCGGGTTGAAGTTGAGGCGGGAATTCTTCGGCTCGGCGGAACCCAGAAAACTCCGTCATTGCCCGCGCGCTCTCCTTCTTTCCCCAACTTTTCGATCTCGACTTCGACTTCTTGACCTCGATTTCCTTTGTGGTTTTGGTGGCCTTTTGTGTTTTAGATTTATTATTTGCACTTTATCTATCTGAACCATCTATATCATGTTTCGCCCGGTTGGGCGCCGCGCGTGGACATGCCGCGAATGTCTCCTGCGCAACCACTCCCGAGCTTTTGCAAGCGCCGCGTCTCCTGCTCCTCGATTACAACCAGATTACGTCCCAGTCGACAATAGCTCACCGAGGAAGAACGCTGACGACGATGCTTTACGCCGTGTATTCGACTCAAAGCCATTTTGGAAAGACTTCTCAAGCGCACGAAACGCAACATCGTCCAAGTCGGCGGGTTTAGTTCAGAACCAATACTTGACGAGCCCCGATGGCTTCAGAGCGTTTGCTCACGTATCGTTGCACAAATGTCAGGCTATTGTAGCCAAGGTTCTCGAGGCCTCGACCCTGGATGAATACCGAGGACTGGCACGGAATTTGGACCGACTCAGCGACCTCCTTTGCCGTGTGATAGACCTTTCCGACTTTATTCGAACCATTCACCCCGATCGACGAATCCAAGAAGCAGCGACGCAGGCGTACGCTCTCATGTTCGAATATATGAATGTGTTGAACACTACAACGGGCCTCCATGAGCAATTGGGCAAAGCTCTTGATAATCCGGAAGTGACATCGCACTGGACAGAGGCGGAAACCATCGTCGCCAAGATTCTTATGAGGGATTTTACAAATTCGGCAATTCATATGCCACCGGCTGAAAGGCAGCGATTCGTGAATCTCTCCAATGATGTCAGCCAGGTTGGCTCAGACTTCTTTGGGGGAGCAGAGCCAGCAAGGTCACAGGTGACGTTTGGTGCCAACAGCCTTCAAGGGCTAGATCCTATTGTGATCCAGCAAATCAAGAAGTGGAATAACAAAGCACCGGTACCAACAATGGGAATCGTCCCTAGACTTGTTCTACGATCCGTACGAGACGAAGATGTGCGGAAAGAGGTATATCTCGCAACGCGGACATCTAGTTCCCGCCAAATTCATCGCCTAGAGAAACTCTTGAAGAAACGAGCCGAACTCGCTCAGATTTCTGGCTTTAACAGCTTCGCCGACATGACCCTGAGCGATAAGATGGCCAAAAGCCCCGAGGCGGTTTCGAATTTCCTGACTTCCCTCATCTCAAGCAACCAGGGTCTTGTGAGTGAAGAACTATCCCAATTGCAAAAAATGAAAGGTAGTGCCCTCAAGCCATGGGACCACGCATTCTATGTCCACAAGCGTGTAATGGAATATTCCCAGTCTCGCCGCTCACGTGAATTGAGCGCCGTTCCTGAGTTCTTCTCGCTCGGGACGGTCATGCAAGGTCTCTCTCGACTCTTTGACCGGCTTTATGGTGTACGTCTTGTTCCCCAAGAGACAGCTCCTGGCGAGACCTGGCATCCAGATGTCCGCCGACTGGATGTCGTAGACGAGTCCGAGAAGCACATCGCGGTCATCTACTGCGATCTTTTTACTCGAGCTAGCAAACTGCCAAATCCAGCTCATTTCACCCTGCGGTGCTCGCGCGAAATTTCGGCCGATGAAGTTGCAGAATGCGCTTCCCTGCATGAAAATGCGCACCCGAATGATGGCATGGCGACTGCAGTCGATCCTCAGACCAAGACCCTGCGTCAGCTGCCAACAATTGCCCTTGTTTGCGACTTCCAAGAGCCGGTCACAAATGGGTCGGGCCGCCCCACGCTTTTGAGTGAACAAAGTGTACGCACTTTATTCCACGAGATGGGCCATGCCGTCCATTCCATCTTAGGCCAGACACCGCTCCAGTCAATCTCTGGAACTCGATGTGCAACCGATTTTGCTGAGCTTCCCTCCGTGCTGATGGAGAGCTTCGCTACTGCTCCCGAAGTTCTTTCTCTGTACGCGCGTCACTGGAAGACTGGCGAGCCTCTGTCTGAGAACATGATGCGCAGTATGGAGCTGGATCGGACTGCCCATGGATCTATATACGGTGCTGTTGAGAACGAGGCGCAGATTCTTATGGCTCTCGTCGATCAAGCATATCACTCAATCCCTTCGAGCGACGCAACTAAGGGTATTGATACCACTGACATCTACCACAAGGTGTTCTCTCAATACTCTAGCCTCCCCGACCCGGACGATGTTGGACCTCGGACTTCGTGGCAAGGCTTCTTCGGTCACCTCTACGGCTATGGCGCCACCTATTATAGCTACATCTTCGACCGTGCTATTGCCAACAAGATCTGGCAGGACGTCTTCCAGTCCGGCCGAACATCCGTGGATCGGGCTGCCGGCGAACGCTACAAAAACGAAGTTCTTCGTTGGGGTGGTGGCCGTACAGGCTGGGAGTGTGTTGCAGGGGTTCTGGGAGAACAGAACCCTTCGAATGCCAATGGCCGTCTTGTGGAAGGTGGTGATGAAGCTATGCGCGAGGTTGGTCGCTGGGGACTGGGCCGTGATGGGGTGTCGGGTTAAAGCATCGACCCTCGTATATTATGATGATATCCTATATGTAAATATATATGCTGAAATAATCCCCTCGGGTCGTTCCAGATTGTTCTGGTCCGAACCCCTGTCAAAAAGTATCGGAACAATTTCCTGAACCTCCTTAGTATTTAAACGGAGTTTTCGGCCAAGCCGACACCGTTGTAGATCACTCAAAGAAACTGCTTCTTGGCAGCTGCACAATCAGAGATCACAGGGAAGGATGCAGTAGCCTGCGCTTGACAAGTGATGATTGGGTCGATTGTCTCAGCTCGGTCAAAGAAGGAAGCCATCTTTCGTAGGCGGCTGGTGGTGGGCGGTCCGTGTCTCACTTCTTTCGAGCGTGTCTTAGCGAGCAGCCAGGCCGGGGAACAAATACCAACACCAGGTTTGTTGATGTTGAGTTTGACGGGCCAGGTTTTGACTGTATTGCTCGAGGAGACACTAAAACTGATACTAGATGCCAAGTTTCTAATTCTCATTTGCGCTGCTGGTTTCCTACAATTCTATGGTGCGCCATGGGGGATAATGGGTATGGCGTGGGCTAGTCGCCCCGTGCATGTGGCTTGCTGCAATGGTACATCTGGGGGATACGATTGCATGCCGGTTCATGCCATGAGGGAGTTCGTCGTGCCTGTGATTATCCTTGGCCTAGGCATAGTCTTCGAGACCCTCCTGACCCTCCATCCTCAAAACACACAAACCGCCTCCTATCTGCTGTCCCATCTTTCTGAGATCTCGTCTTATACTTGGGACGTGGAAGAACGACCTTTACTACAGGCTGCCTGGTGCTGCGGATTTATGTGCATACCACACCCCGCCGTGTCTTATCTTGCAGTTCCGGGCCTGCTCACCTTCAGCTCTGTCATCTCTGAAAAGGAGGGGGATACAAAGCGATTTCCGATCAAAGCACGCCGAAATAACAACGTAAGCAGGGCCATTTGATTCATCAGAAACTAGATACGGCATATCTACCTCTGGACTTGGCCTTGTTGCCGCCCCTCTCAATCACTGCCCTTCCAATATACATCACAAGCTCGGTTGCTTCAAAATGCCGGAAACTCCCATTTTTCGCGATGATGCGTCGAAAATAAGTGAAGCATCTTTTTCGACAGCCTACGATCAAACTGAAATACCCCCGCGTCAACTTCGCCGGCGAAGCACAGTGACGACGCTGAAACGATGGGCGTCGAAGAGAGTGTCGCGTGCATCGTTGAATGATGCCCAAGGAAATGAACTCAGCGAGAAGAACCTTTCATCTCTAGAACACGAGACGCGATATCTCGGAGGAAACAACAAGGACTTGAACTTGAAAGAAATAGCTGAAGGGAAGGAGTTGGCGAAGGAAACTGGATCGATTCAAGAAGTCGACGAGACGCTTCCGGACCGCGACTTGCAGGAAGACAGGGACCCATACATTCTCCAAGAGTACGATGTCTTTTGTCACGAGTTTACTTTGTCCGGCTCTCACCAGAAGAAAAAGGATTTCGACTTGTCAATGGAAATAGGACAGGATGCCAACTTGAATAATCCGACAACAGGCAGATCTAAAATAAACCATACCTTGACCTCGCACCTGGCTGAAGAATCTGGATCTCCATTCAACAATTTTGACTATCAAGCGAACATGTCACAGCCCCAATCAATTACTTCGATGCACCCCGGGAGGTCGTCAACAAACTACGACAACCCGAGAACTACTGAAAAAGAGAGCGACTTCGCAATACCCTCAACCTACCAACCCCAACCCCCCTCCTATGTCATGACTCCGCTTGTTTATATGGAGATGCAGCGCACCACTCGCGAGCGAAGGCTATCCCGGCAAAAAAGCCTCTGGCAACCACTCAGGTCGCTATTTTCAAACGAGTCGCTACATAGGCAATAATGTTAATATGAGATTGTCGTTCAATAATTAAGGAGCTATCTTTCAAGCTATAAACTAGTCCAGAAATGGTGTGGGTTTAAAATGACTGTATAATGTATTAGCAACGGCAGAAACGCCCCTGTAGCTCGTTCATAGCTATAGGGATGCCAAAGTCAATCTCTAACGTCTCGAATTGCTTCCAAGGTTTGCTTGCGCCTTTTTGCTCTCAAAGTTATATGCGCTGGAAACTTTATACTGAGGGCTTCGCGCCATACTAGCATAATAAATTATGCTAGATGCCTCATGGATCTTGGTGAGATCCATCTGTGTTCAAGTTGGCAAAGGTGTCAATAACCATCAAAAACTCTCCATAATGAGATTTGAAATTCCCGGCATCTAGATCGACGGTGCATACATAACCTAGAGTCGAGTGAATCGGGCCAGGCAACGGAGCTGGTCCTCATTCTTCAAAATTGTCGGGCTTGTCACATAAACTTTTGATTGTTCGCAATGTGGAACTATCTTCAGGGTGACTTATCTGCCCTCGAGGGTGACAAGAGTGATACCATTTCCCTAAAAGAGTATATTGGTGTCTGTAAGTCTTATGATACGGGCCATCCTAGGTGGAGCCAGCACGCGTTCTAACGCTTATATGCACTCGATACCTCCCAGTACTGAGAATCTGGGAATAAATTGGCAGTCAGCAAAATGCGGGGAACCTCGACAAGACGAGATTCTCAAATGCTGAGCCGTGTGTACCTCTGTAGACATGTTCCACCAGGAGATTTTCGAAGCTGCAAAGTCTTCTAGATTGTCACGGAATGCTGCATCAAGCTATCCCGAGTTGCCACTTCGATTCATGAGCCATTACAAATTCGTACATGCTGTTGGGAAGCTTCCTTACCAAAAGATACGCCGATCTAGTACCGAGCCTTGGAATACGAGATGAAAGCTTGGCGGGCGCTCACCTGGGTAGACGTATATAATTAGGAACTCTCAACAAAATGACCTTGGAATCTGACCTGATTCTCAACTTAAATCCCAGAGCTTGAACGCCATATCTTTACTTGGAATACCTAATGTCAGAAGAAAGCGCAAAGTCCCAGGCCTATAGTGGCAGTTGTCACTGCGGACAAGTCAAGTTCACAGTACAGATATCACCACCTATCTCAGAGCAGTCCGTGACACAATGCAATTGTATCCATACAATCCGTTTCTTTGGACATCTCACCCGAAGATTCGACAAAATTGATGATCTAACTAATAGCCCACGTGTCTAGGCTCTATCTGCACCATTAACGGCTATCTGATGGTCTATCCCCAAACGACTGATGTGAAATGCCATTACAAAGAAGACGATGTCAAGGTATCGGATTCCGACAAGAGCATTGAAAACTCTGGGCAATCAATGATAACTTGAACCATTTCCCTCTAGGAATATCGCTTCGGCAGCAAGCTGTTTCCGCACTATTTTTGCACCTTCTGCGGGACTAGTCTGTTTGCTCGTTCCGAGAACCCGGACTTTGGGAATGTAATGGCTCTTAATGTATCAAGGTCCCCGGCCGTTTGAGTTGTCCGAAGTTCCTTCAGCTGACTCTGCTATATAGGTCCGAACTCTGGCAGATGTCGATATCACGACCTTGAAAATCCATAAGCATGATGGGCGGAGCGATGTTCGGGTTTAAAGCTGGAGATTTAGTAGCGTTCATAGGCACTGATGATGACGCGGAAGATGCAATGCAGCTGAAATTTACGATTGTCGATTACTAGCGGTGTCGTTCCAAGTTCACACCACAAAGGCAATAATCTTATGTTGTAAGAGTGGAGTATATACATATACACGTAGCAACTCATCCGTAGAGACAGACGAGGTGATAGCATTAAACAATAAACGTATGAGACATAAAAGCCGCACGGCTCCAACAGAAGCAGGGTATCCTGGGTCCTATTAAATACAACGAGCCAAGACGAGGAACGAGCGAAATGGATCTAACAAAGGAAAATCATGCCGTTCTGCAAGGGATTTATTCACACCCCTGGCAAACGGTCTAACAATCACGACCGTCCCCAATACTTCTACCGAGCGGCAGGAGTATCGGAACGACTGCGGCTGCTTTCTGATTCTTGAACTGAAACAGCTGTTTCTGGGTGGGGGGTTGACGAGAGACTGCGTGTGTCGGGGGTAGCTCGGCGGGAGAGCTGGGCCAATTCTCCGATGAGTCTGCAAGGGACATCGTTAGTACGGATCCTGCGGTGGGTAGGGATGGATGGTATGTAGGTGGACACTAACTTGCGATGCTCATCATACCACTCGTCGTTCGCGTATCGGATGTGCTTAAGCTGTTCCTGAATGCTTGCCATCTACAAAAGTTGATTAGTTTATGTATGAATCAAATTTGTCTCAACCTCATGTAAATGGATGAAATGCGGGCAGATCTGAGGAGTATGAAGACTTCAAACGGGGATCTCCCACCGTTCCCTCGATGGATGGGCCAAGGTCCTCACCTTCCGTTGCGGCTGGACCTCCCTCCTCAGCGTTCTCGCTACCCTCCTCTGCCGATGCCCATCGGCTAGCATTCAGGCCGGATGAAGTGCTCTTGTCATTGTCGTTATCGGTCTTCAGAGCAGCGAGCTCAGCCTCGAGCTCACGGACACGTCGACGACTACCAGAGATTTGGCTCTCAATGTCACCAAGTTGATTAAGAAGAGACATGTTCTTGTCAATTTGGTCGTTCAGGTCGCGCTCGCCAGAAGCAAGCCTCTCCTCCATGGCCTTGTTCTGAACCCGAACTTCCTCAAGTTCCTGGCTTGTGGCAGTGTGCTTGGTCTTGAGCGAGTCGATTTCTGCCTGGGACTGGGAGAGCTGGGCCATGATGGATTCCAGATCGGACTTGTTGCTGCTGGACGCGGCAACGGATTTCTGTAGTTCCTCAACCTGAGAGATGGCCGCCTGGTGCTTCTCAGCAAGTGCTACATGTTCGGTTTGGATCTTAGAAAGCTCAGTAGCGTGCTTTCCCTCAAGATCGCGAGAAGCATTAGTCGCCGATTCCTGGACTGCCAAGTGGGCCTTCTCGGAATCCACCAGCTTCTGCTCGAGCTCCACGATGGTCGCCTTCAAGGTATCAAGGGCAGATGTATCCGCTGCAGCAGACTTAGCCTGAGAAAGCTGCTCGTTGGCTGCTGCCAGGGCGGCATTGTGCGACTTCTGGAGTTCCTCGATGCTGGCCTGGTTTGATGCCTCAAGTTGCTCTCTCAGACCGGCAACTTTAGTGTCCTGGAGGGTGAGAAGCTCTTCAATCGCCTTTCCGTGCTCGGCATCGGCATCGGCAGCCTTCGAGGCCTGGGAAGCCTCAAGTTCAGCCTGGAACTTGGCCTTGGTTTCCTCGAAGCCCTTTTGGAGTTCAGCAATTTCCTTGGCGTGCGTCTCCTTGTCAGTCTGGCGGGCGATTTGCAGCGCCTCAAATTCAGCTTGCAGCTTAGCCTGAGCCTCTTGAGCCTGTTGCTGAAGCTTGGCATCACTGCCCCGAGCCTCAGTGTGAGTAGCAAGCTCTCCTGCGTGGCGCTCGAGAGTCGACTTCAAATCAGCCTCGAGGGACTCGACGCGAGTAGCATGGCTAGATTCCAGATCCCGGTTTTTAGCAAAGAGGTCATCGTGCTTCTGCTGAAGTTCACTCAAAGCGCCCTCTTGGGATCCCGAGGCTTCTTGTTTAGCCCGCTCCAGCTCAGCGACATGCTCGCTCTTCACAGCCTGCAATTCCTGAGCATGCTTCTCAATAGCGGCAGCAAGTTGGGCTGCAGCATCTGTAGCCTTGTCCTCCAAAGCCGTCAGCTTATCATCCTGCTCCTTAAGCTTGGATTCTTTCTGAACCTCCCTGGACTTTGTCTCGCCCTCAAGGTTCTTCAGGCTGTGGTAAAGCTCCTCGGCCTCGGTCTGCTTGTTTTGAACTTCCTGCTGCAGGGCCCTGATCTCGCCGGTTCCAGTGGATAGCTGAGTTTCAAGAGATTCAACCTTCTGGCGAAGAGCCTCAATTTCGTGAACGGCGTCCTCCTGGGCATGAGCGTTGCCCTCATCAAGAGCCCGACGAGAATCAACGAGTGCCGTTTCGGATGCGGTGAGTTTCTCCTCAAGGGCCTTGATCTCAGTCTCATGTGCAGTCTTGAGCTCAGAGATAGCAAGTTCGCGGTCAGCTTGAGCAGCTGATTTGGCAGCATCTAGCGAAGCACGCAGTTCCTCGAGATGTTGAGAGTGCTCGGTGCCAGTTGACTCAGCCGCGGCCTTGGCAACAGCAAGTTCCTCTGCATGCGATGCTGAGAGGGAGCTCAAAGTAGTGTCGTGCTCAGCCTTCAGGTTGGCTACTGCGGCTGCATGGGTAGACTCTAGCTCCTTGACCTTTGCAGCAGCTTCGCGTGCCTCCTCAAGTTCCGCCTGTGCCTGTTCAATAGCTTGCTTCAGTTCAGCAATTTGCTGATCTTTCTCGGCAAGGGAACTAGTTGTCTGCTCCGAGCTTTCCTGGGTAGAAGATTCGGCCTCAGCGAGCTTAACTTCCAGAGAGGTAATTTGCTCCTTCATCTGAGCAACAGATGCGTCGACGGCTTCCTTTGCAGCCGCTGTTTCTTTGTTGGAGGCAGACAGTTTTTGGAGCTCGGTTTCAAGGTTTTCAATGACCTGGCTGGATCCCTTAAGCTCACGCTCAACATTAACGCGGGACTGGGCTTTCTCTTCCTCACGCAGTGCCTTTTCAGATTCAATCTCAGCCTTCAAGGCATTGATCTGCTCTTCAAAAGTAGTAGCCGCCGCCTTGTGGTCTGAGAGCTCCTTCTCGAGAGTTTCAAGCTGGGCCTTGTGAGTATTCTTCAGCTCTTCAAGCGCAGCGGCAGTTTTGTCGTCACCAGAAGCAGCGGCAGACTGCTTGGCTTCCTCAAGCTGCTGCTGGGACCGCTCTTCCAGTTCCTTGCGCTGGGTTTCCGCATCTTCGAGTCGGGTTTGAAGAGATTGAAGTTCTTCAGCGTGCGAGGAGGTGAGCTTTTCAAGCTCTGCGGTGTGCTCAGCCCGACTCGCCTCAGTGTCGGCACTGGTCTCAGCAGCTTGTTCTCCCGAGATTGACAGCTGGCCCAGCTTCTCATTCACCGTCTCGAGCTCGGCTTTGAGCTTGTTGACAGTCTCTTCACTCTCAGACAGCTTTGTCTGGAGAGCCTGGAGCTTCTCATCAGCACCAGCACTTCTGGCAGTGGAAGTGCCAAGGGTGCTAAGACGCTTCTTCGGGTCCGTGGCCGAGGATGCGACAGACCGCGCAGTAGAGGTGGTGGAGGTAGGCCGCGTGGCAGTCCGAGTGGCGGTTGTGGATGAAGGAGTTGTGCGGGTGGTGGAAGTCGCGGATGTGAGCTTCCCAACGGGCTTGCTGGTCGAGGTGGCGGTCCGGGTGGTCGAGGCAGCGGGCTTTCTGTCCACAGCCGAGCCAGCAACACTCGATCTGCGGTCGAGAGTGGAAGAGGTCTTCAGGGGAGTACGCGTAGATGCGGTGCCAGCCATCGACATGCGCTTTGCAGTGCTCGGGATGCCTCTCTTCTCATCTCCGGAGCTAGCGACTGACCGCTTCTCGTCCGCGGAGCTGCTAACCGAGGCGCGAGACCGGTGAGAAGAGGTCGTCGAAGTACTCAAAGGCTTGCGGGTTGCGGAGGTGGTAGTGGTAGTGGTAGGACGAGTGGGAGGTCTGTTTAGGGTGCTGCTCGTCGATGTCGTGCCACGTGTGGTCGAAGTTGTAGGTCTCGACGACGCAGTGGAGGTGGAGGACGAGGTGGGACGTTTGGAGGCAGTCGAGCTCGAGACTGGACGCTTAGCGGTAGCTGTAGCACCAGTGCTGCTTTTGGCGGCCGGAGGAGAAGCTGGGATGTTTTCCTTGGGTACCTCAGGGCTCGACTTGGCTTCCTCACCCCCCGACAGAACGGTGGAGTCTACAGGGGTGGCCGGCGGTGCGACCTCGGTGTTGACCTCGGTGTCAACCTCGACATCGGAGGAAGTGGGAATAGTAGGCTCTTCGGTTGAGGCCATAGTCGCGGCCAATTGGTACGATTGGAGTGTAGGAAATATGTAAATTTAGCGTGGTGGGCGACTGGGCGAACACGATTCTCCGGTAGCAAAAGGGGTCTATAAAGATGTGATTAACAATTAGCATGAGAACCTAGCAGGTAACAAGGCAGGTGGTATCCATATATATGTTAGGCGGAGGAAGAGCTGCAAGCTGCATGCTTTGAGGCCCAACACCATCGTCCACAGCGTCGGTTGTTCTTCAATGCCCCTGGGTTGTAGCTAAAGCTCTGGACCTCGGATAAAGAATCTGGAAACTGTGGATGAAAGGTGCCTTGATTGCCTTGAATGAACCACAGCAGGGGCTCAGATTGCAGACAGAGGCCGTGCAGAAGCACTCAATGCCCAGAATTGCCAACCCGATGGTCTGTGTTCAAAAGAAAGAAAGAAGGTACTTACGCGGCGCGTATAGAGCTGTTCCTGGAGCTTCACGAACTTGGACGAGAGGACAAAATGAAGCCTCAGCACGAATTCTGACAATCGGCCAAGTCGGCGATCACAGAATCAAGAGGAAAGACAAAGGTCGTGTTAAGGCGCAAATGGTTGGAGTGAAAAGTAGAGAATAGGAGGCGGGAGCAAAGCGGTGGAGACGGGGGGAAGGCGGAGGGCAAGGAGGAGGGGGGGGGGAGGGATCGCCGTCTCTGCTGTTGGGAGTTGTACACAAAACGGCTGGCGACGCTATGCTGATCATTATTATATTCTAAACCTTGTCCTCGGACGCGCATGAACGACCACAATGTAATATATTGCACTCAGTTATTGTATATTTCTATGTAAAAGGGGGCTTGAAGCTTGACAACCCCCTGAAGTGCAACGCGTTGACCAAAACAAAGGGCAATCCGTGGTTCGCCCAGCCCGATCCGCCGGAACCGAACTTGAGCCAAAGTTCATATTGGGGTATAGCGCATCGAATCATTGTAAAGAAGAAGAAAAGAGAAAACAAAAGAGATATCAAATACAACCTTTCATATCATATCAGCCCCATCGCTCTGGCTTTGCCTTCCATGTCCCTCATACTCCGTCCAGGGAGTTTATGCCCCCAGTGTGTGGCAATTTCAAGAAAAGGGTTATCTAAACTCGAATGAGAATGGTTTCATGGGCCATCACAGAAGAATTAGGGAGATACTGACCGTCATCAACATATCGAACCATCCCATGTCTCAATACTCTTTCCTCATTCACCGTCCAGCGATGAGTCACAGGTGGGATATCGGCCCAATCGTGCTGGTCGTTGGCCGAAGCAGGCCAGTGGGCCCTCAACTGTCCATTTTCCAGAGCTTTCATAACACGTTGAAGTGGTTGGGCAAGGGTCCCAGATCGGTAACGTGGCGTGAGAAGTCCCATGTATCGTTTGATAAGACCTATGCATACCGACAGCAGATCTAATGTCTGATGCAGTTGGTCATGGGCCTGCCCGTCTGTTATTCGGTATATCCGGAAACCGAGTTGAGTCAAGATGACCATCTTCGGTATAAAATGCGCTTCAAACTGATCCAGCACAATGGATTCTTGCAGTACCTCTGATGCATGCTCGAAGAGTTGCCTGACCTCGGTCACAATGGATTCTTTAATATTCTCGAGCTGTTTCCGGAGAAGTTCGGTGAGCCCGCCACGCTCTATAGCTTCCTTGTAAAGATTTCGATACTCAGCAAACAACTGGTAAAGAGATTCGAGATATTTCGGTCGTGGCGATATGGCATATCCTTTCAAGCCTCGTCCTCTTTCATTGAGCGTGTTCCATCCAGGACCCGCACTGGTTTTCTTGACTTCCCGGACAAACCAATGGCGGAGATCACGAATAAGTTGTACGTTGGGATCGATTTCTTTCTTCCGCTTGGCTGCTATTTGCTCGGCTGGTTGCGTTTGGGATTCAAACTCTTGATCATTGACATCGTGAATGGTCTCATCATGAATAGTCTCAGCATACCCATGAGATAGATAGCTCCGGGCCGATGGACTATTATCGATCACGATCTCAATGTTCCTTCGTGATGGCACGAGTTGATGAGAACCCTGAGAGTGGACCGATGAATCGTCGTTCGGACCCTCTTCGATCTGATCGGCATGCCCGCTGTGTTCTGCGCTGTCTTGTCTCGGCAGAGTGGATGTATCATTTGCGACGTCTTCTGCGTCCATTTCGGTTTCATCTTCGTCTTCCTGACCCTCATCGCCATTGCCTTCCCAACGTTCGAATAGAATCTCGGCTCCTTCGGTTCGAGGATCATCTGCACGGCTATTTCGTTCTTCTTCCTCCTCGTCACTCGAAAAAAACTTCACCTCAGCATCATGATAGTCGTCCGCGTCGGATGACGGCTGATCTGCGCCCGCTACTTCAACGCTCTCCGGCTCGCGAGTGGACTCGGGGGGCTTGGCAGGTTCGGGAGTCGGCGTACTTTTGTTCTGACGGGTACGAGGCCTCCTTAATACTTGGGGTTCGCTTTTGCGGGAAGTCTTTCGTGGTTCGGGCGAGGTGGGGATATCATAGACGCTGTCGTGTCGCGCGGTGTGTCTCCTTGTAGTCGGTGCTATGGTGGACACATTATTGAGGAAATCGAGGGATGTATTTGTCGAGAAGCGGGTTTTTCTTTTGCGGGCAGGCGCCATGATTGCAAGGGAACAGGTGGCGATCGCCACCGAGTTTCGCGATGCGTGATGCAATATGCGACGTGCGGTGAATGCGGGAGCGGAGCGGAGCGGAGGTGAAAGAGCTTGGGTGGAGCCCGTCTGTGCCCGCGTGCGGTCATCCCACTTCCCCTCCACAGCTTTCCTACGATCGGATAAGTCATCTACATTTCTATCATCACACTCATCAAAATGAACACGGACGGCCGCGCTGTCCGCGTTCTACCGAGGCTCGACCCGTCTGTGTCCCACAACTTTCTGAAACCCGTCAAGAAAATCCACGAGGCGCAAGATGTTCCGCCTTTCTTGATCTCGAAGGGCTATACGGATATCATGACTTTCGCCCTGCAACTGAACAGATCAATGTTTCCGGAGAAACTTGCCGACGGCACTTCACAATCATGGCCCCTGAATGCTGAAGAAGTGCAGTTCTCTGCACCAGTCCGACAATTGCAAGACCTCCTCTCAAAACTCGAAGACCTTATCCTGGAGGTTCCACCAGACAGCGGCCCGCGCAGATTCGGAAACATCAGCTTCAGAAAATGGCACGAGGTCTTGGAAGAGCGGGCGTCTTCTTTGCTGAAGGAATGTTTACCCACAGAGATCCTGGAGAGACCTTCGTCGGAGGCAGATGGCGTCACTGCCGAGGCCGAGCTTAAAGCCTATTTTCTTGGAAGCTGGGGAAGTGGGCAAAGGCTAGATTACGGCACAGGGCATGAGCTCAGCTTCCTGGCATTCTTAGGGTCGATTTGGAAGCTTAATGGGTTCCCAAGCTCCAGCCCGGGTGTTGAAGAGAGAGCTATTGTGCTTGGCGTGATTGAACCGTATGTCTACGCTGTGAACCCTCAATACGTGAATACCCCCTTACGCTGATTTTAGGTACTTGGACCTCGTGAGACTACTCATCAAAACATATACACTCGAACCTGCCGGCTCTCACGGAGTATGGGGCCTCGACGACCACGCCTTTCTCCCTTACATATTCGGATCTGCTCAACTGTCCCCAGCTATCAATGAGACTGATTTAACCCCCGAGGAGGGTTCACTGCCGGATGCTCCCGACCCAGCCGGTGTGGTCAAGCAAAACATCGTGGAGCGAGAGAGAAAGACTAACATGTACTTTTCTGCTATCGGATTTATCTATGATGTGAAGAGAGGCCCATTCTGGGAGCATAGCCCCATGCTTTACGACATATCAGGTATTCGAGCTGGCTGGGGAAAAATCAACAAGGTAAGTTTTATATATCTGTTCACTTGATTTTATGCAAATCGAAACTAATATTGACCACCAGGGAATGATCAAAATGTGGAACGCAGAAGTTCTGTCCAAGTACCCTGTGGTGCAGCATTTCCCATTCGGCTCCCTGTTCAGCTGGGACCGCGATCCTTATGCCGTTGCCCCTCCATCCACTGTACATGCCACCTCTGGCCCACAGGGACGGCCTGTCGTACCAGATGCCGGTCCACCGACATCCGCAACGGCCCGACCAAGTGCAGATAGCGGAACGAAAGCGCCATGGGCAACAGCAGGGGCTGGATCTCGAGCCCCTCCAATGGGCCCGACAGCTGCGCCCTGGGCAGCGACAAGGAGAGATGGTCCTCCGCCCCCGGGTTCCATTTCTGGCCCCAGCACGACAGCTCTTCCAGATACTTCTCGACTGCCTCCGGGTCCTATGGCTCCCACCCGGGCTCCATGGGCAAACTCTCAGCCCCCAGCTCCGCCCGGTGGAGATGGCCCTACAAAGGCCCCTTGGGCTAAATGAAGATGAAAATAAGATACCCCATGTAATGAAGAACATTGAGTTATTATCAAGTCAATATTGTTGTCTACGCATCAGATGCGATGAATTCATTGTAATTAAACTGAACGCCCCCAGGGTATAAAACAATAAGAAACCAATCAAGCCTATATACTTTTTTCTCATTCTGAGTCAGATGTGTATCCAACAAGCATCGGAGGTGCTGTCTTAGATAGAGCACTTTTGTCAACGCTAACGCTTGGCGAGTCTGTCTCAGGCGTCATTGAACCAGTCTCAGACTTTGGCGTATGGTCACTTTCTCCGGGTTTAGAAACGTAATTTGTCGATCTCTGAGAGCCGGGAGTGTTGCTCGCGGTCTTCCTCCTCTTAACACCCGGTTTCCAGACGTCGTCCTTCGCACTAAGATCGCTCAGAAAAGGATCCACGACAGCACGCGTATTTCCAGTTAACGCATGGCGTAGGGACGCTTTGTGCCGCGCAGCCAATTTATCAGCCTTTGTTTCCCGGGAGCTGCGTTTTGTTTTCTGCGATTTGGCTCCGGAGGATGTTTCGGGGACAGATGCCTCAAACATAGGGCGGGTTCTTGTAGCTTGAAAAGCATCAGTCCCGATAGCAGACCGGTCATCACCAAAATCGACCAGTCTAGCCCGTTGGCGATCTCCTTCAGTTTCATCAACAAGTTCAATTCCCAAACTCATTTTATCTTGCAGCGCCTCTCGATTCGCCGCCGCCTTTTCAAGACCCTTTCGTTCAGTCCGGAATGAGCGCCGCAATCGTCTCGATTTCTCATAAGGATCCTCCCAATCTCTATTTTGTCGCTCCTGCAGCTCCAATATCCGCCTCGACTCAGTCTGTGCGCGCTGCTTATCCTCTACCTTCCCTTCAAGCTTCGCAAACGGATCTTTCTCAGCGGGGTCCTGCTCGCCGAAACCCCATGGCCGAATAACAATTTCCCCAGGTTGTGCCTCTTTATCATCGCCGGTATCGCGCTTCCTCCCACCCTCCACAACCACATATGCGGTGTTTTGCGGATCGGTCCGAATCTCAATCCACCCACCGCATACTGTGTGTTTCATGCGAAAGCTGTACACCGGCGTCGAATGGTAGTTCCCGACCTTTTTCTTCTCCGCGTTAAAGCGGACGCCTTGTCCGATTATAGTCTCGTTCGGCTTGCAGGTTGTGCACCATACTGCGAATGGCATCTCGAATCGAACGATCAGGGCGCCGGTCGTGTGGAGGTGACGGGCGCGGGCGCCGAGAGGGTGCTTGCCGGCAAGTTTATTCGCGGAGGTGACGCCTTCTTGGTCCGGTGGGACATATCTGTGGTTGTATTAGCGGAAGGTTATTGCCATGATTCCCATTTTGTGACTGACCGTCCCATATCTGTAGACTAGTTAGCTCTTTGACTTCCTCGTGTATGGCGGATGGGTACTCACTGAAGCCCTGCATGATGAGATTGGTGGGCTCTGACGAGACCCTGTAGAGAGTATAGTGGTATCAAGGTGAACGAGTGTTCTCTCAAAGGCTGTGGACTGCCCACCTCGACCAGCGCGGCTGCAGAAGCCAAAGAGTTCGCCGGGCGGAATCTGACGTGGCGGCGGGCGGGCCGAAGTTAACGGATTTAAGAGTGCTTACCTAATGACATTTGAGGGCCCGAGCGTCTATACTCGTCGATCTCGCAGAGGGAGAAGGGAGAAGGTGGGCAGGCTGAGGATAAGCCAAATAGTGGGCAACACATCGCTTAAGAATGTCAAACAAGTGTCAATGTGTTAATAAGCCTCCGAATGGTCTAATGGTATTGGCCTTGATCATTCGGGGGGAAAGAGCGAGGAGGCTTTGAAGAGGCGCAATGGGACCAGTGCGTGCCTACCTTGTCTTTTTGTTTTTTTTTCCAGGTCGCAGGGTCAAAACCTGGACAAGGCATTCATTTGTAGTTTGCTTTTCCCTCCTTTTCTTTTGTTTTGTTTGTTGTTGCTGAACTTCTATCTACTACTAGTCCTCGTGCCTTGCAATCCGTTCGCTGTCCCCACACCACGCCAAGTGGGTAATTTACACCTTGCTTTGCTATGGAGGTATTGAATCAAACATTCAATATAATTTCATCTGGGAGATAAACTAAAAATTTGAAAATCAAGATGTATAATCATTTAAACAAGTAGACAACCACCATTGGACTGGATCACGGTGCCAGTTACAAACTGATCTTTCATCAAATAAAGGTAGCTCTCCGCCAAATCCTCCGGTCTACCAACTGTACCAGTGGTCGATGCCTGTCGGAACATCTCTAGAGCACCCTCAAGATTCGGGAATAGAGAGAAAAGTTCCGTGTGCACCGCACCAGGAGCAACGGCATTCACCCGAATAGGCTTGAGATCCACAGCAAGACCGCGGGCAAGACCCTCAGCAGCAGAGCTTATAGCGGTAGCCATAGTCCAGCCTGGTGCTGGTTTCTGACTACGAACACCACTGGTAATAGTGAAAGAGCTTGCCGGGGAGAGCTCCACGTATTTGTGGATGTATTTGGCCATCACGGCCGGAGCGACGAAGCGGACATTCATGCCGCTATAGATTGCATCGGGGGTCAACCCTTCAAGAGGTGGTCGACTGAGCAGGTCACCTGCAGTAAAAGCGACATGGTTAAGCTTGACGGTGCCGCCGTTGGTGACTTCTTCGAAAAGAGACTGGATGTTGGCATCGATATTTGCGGCATCGGCCAAGTCGCAGACGCGAGTGGTGATGGTTTGCTTTTCACTTTGAGCGGGATAGGTCTCTTTCAGCCTAGCAACTGTTTTGTCGAGCTTGCTTTGATTCGAACTGGAAATTATGAGGTGGGCGCCATGCTCGAAGGCTGCTTCAGCGACACAGAATCCAATGCCGGAGGTGCCTCCAAACACCAGAACACGCTGGTCGACAAGCTTGGAAGTATATTTGCCAGACGAGGAGGCCATGGTGTATAAAAGATGAGACTTCTTGTTCGATTCAAGGAGGAATTCCTCGAGATTAGGAATCCAATTTATAACTGGAGGGTAACATCTCGGAGATAGTCAGGTGGTCCCATGTTAACCCCGTCGTGGAGTGTAATGCCCGGACGGCATTCGATTTAGCCCGAGTCCGTTGGTGGAGCCTTGTAGTATTTGCATTGTTAAATCCTCCAGTGAGTACGCAGGGTTATATCTCGGAATCCAATTGGTGCGCTCTCCTCGGGAGAAAGGGGCGGTTGGGCTGATTGAATAATCGAATATGAGGATCTGATCCGTCAATTAAACCACCTTATAGTTTCTTCAACCCGCAAAAATTCAGATATCGACACATATCGTATCATATCGAGTTCAAATACACTGAATGAATAAAAGAAGTCGCAGATCATACAATGAACTGGTAGTGCAATGAGAGAAAGTGTGTGGAGTAGAATATCTGGCGACCAACTCTGGGGCCATGGTGTATACGTCAACTGAGAAATTCCGACAAGATGAAGGGTTTATTAGAAATTTCATTTGGACATGACTATACCTAACATTTATGACTGGGATGAAGTTTACTGAACCAATTTACCCGGGCTCATTGAAAATAGTGACTGGACCTAGCATTCACACCAACTGATTATGGTGCTCTAACTCGAAACTCTCCAGGGCTTGATAAAGTTCGTAGGTTAATTCATGTGTCTAAGATAATATACAGAAAGCGAAGTATATACAAGAAAGTCAAGTTTTCGTCAAGCACTAGGCACTCGGCCAATTCCCACTCCACCGTACCATACTTTCATCTTCATCGTCGATAACCACCACCATCCACACTCCCACTTCTCCATTATTCGCCAACAACGGCGTACAATGGATCCAGCGATGCCGACCATGATCGCTGAAGCGGTTCACCCACTTAATCCGAGCTGTGACGCTACGCCCGGCCATCATGGCGTGTAGAATACTATCACGCTTGGGACCGGAGTCGCCAATACGGGATAGGAATGAAGATTGAAGCATACCGGGAATTTGAAGGGATGGCGATGTGAAAAGAATGCGGAGTGATGGGTATGGTCGGACAAGAAGGTACTATACCAAAAGCGTTTAGCATGTTTGAAGGCGGCTGGGCTTGCGGGTATACTTACATGTTTGTAGACACCAGTCAAAGAGCCTCCACCATTTGAAACAGATGATGGAACTCCTAACCGAGACTCGCTCTCGCCCTCGGGGCTTTGGATCCACAGGCGGCTATTCTTTGGATTGAGTCGGTCGGCCACAGGGTGGAACAGATTGCCTCCGTAATCGTGCACATTCTGCAGCTCTCGTGGACTGAACAGTTCTCCCAGTTCTTGGAATTCGCTTTTTGGCTTCGGTTTGAGGTGTGAGACATCATCTTGCTGGGAGACATCATCTTGCTGGGAAGCTTCTTCCTCCTTCTCTTCCGAAGTTTTTCGGTCCTGCAAGTCTTGGAGAGATTCCATTTGCGCGCCCTCCATCGCTAAGCCTGAAACGTCAATTTGAGCTCCAATGAAATACCGGATCTTTCCTTGGCTATCGCAAAGCGGTGCGCATTGAAGCAGATTCATGAATGGAGAGCCATCGCGGCGGCTTTTGTCAATCGTTAGTTTGTGGGCTGAGAATGCAGAGAAGCAAGTGACCTACTAATTAAGGAACAATTCTGAGTGATGTCGGCCTGACTGGATGCCTTCACGAATGCGTCGAACACTGTTAGGGTTTGTTTTCGGGCCTTGCAAGAAACGGCAGTTTCGTCCAAGGACGTAGTCCATGCCGTATTGAGTAGTGCGGTGGAATTCTAAGCAGGTGTTAGACAATTTTTCCTCAATACCCAAGGCAGTGAATTACTTACCTCCAGATGCAAAGATAATTGGGTTATCGGGGCGCGAGGGGTCGGTCAAACAAAATACTTCCGCAAGGGCGTCTGATGTTCCCTGGAACTTGTCTGGTAAGGTTCCTCGCACGCGTTCCTCGACAACCTTACTCGTGATGTTGATACATGTCGCTGTGATGAATGCGGGAAGCTCCTCTGCAGTCAGAGCATTCAGAGCATCCTGTACACGGGCTTCGAGTGCTGTGTTTGTAGTTAGGCCAACGGGTTCTTGAGCCTGCTCAATCCCCGCCGTCGGCACATCTACCGACAATCGTACAAGGGCATTCGCATATTGGATTGCTTTCAGCGCCTTGCAGGCATTGAGATAATATGTCAATGTGGGAATCGACCTCGGGCGCTCCGAGACCAAGAAATTACGAAATCGCGCCAGATAGCGCGGATTTCGCAAGATGGTTAGCATATGGTCGGGCGAAAACATCGTATCCGCTTGGCGCTCAAGAGAGTGCAGTGGGGCCGCGTCGCCTTCCCATGGAGCAACCAAGTCGAATGTGTCGCCATCCTCCTCGTTGACAGGATTGAATTGCTCAGAACCATCGTATGGGTTCGTCGCTTGGAGCAGTGGGAGTTCGTTTAGTGCGAAGTTTCGGCGGAGAGTTTTGAGCGATGACTTGGAGCGAAGTTCGTCGTCGTTGATGTCGCCGTCGCCGCTTGATGGGGGAGGAGGACTGTGCCATTAGATTAGCGGCGGGTTCCTGCAACTTTGCTTTGCAGATCTTTGTCTCACTGTTCTGTGCCATTCGGCATCGCGTCCAGTCCCTTCAGCTTTTCTTGTGGCTCTGGCGTACTGAGATCTTGGCTAACTTCCTGGCGCATGTCTTGCGGCGTATCTACCGGCGGAGCTTTGCGCATGTCCTGGTAGTCGCTTTCCTTGGGTTGCGATTCAAACCCATAGTCTGTCGCGTCATCAAGGACAATGGTCGGCGAGTACGACAATACCGAAGGTGATTTATGTGGGCGATTGTCGGGAATGTCAGGGATCTCCATAGTGACAACACAACGATGACGATGCGCAAAGATTCAAGCTACTTTCCCATGGGAAAATCCCAGGGCAAAGAGCCTTTTAAGAATGCAGGATGATCGCTCAGCCATGACTAGCCCTAGATTCCGCAGGAGCTGACCAGGAATCGTTTATTGAAGGCTATCCATGGTTAGGCTGAAATTGTGGACGAATGAATAGTATTTCATGTCGAGCAAAAGAAGATCAGCGTCCTCGCAAATTTCCAGCTACGCTGGATCGACCGATCGATGGGGCGATCCGTGAAGCCACGAGCAGTGGATGCACGAGATCTGGGAGCCGGGGAGGCGATGATGCAATGGGTCAGGGCGCCGCGCCGCGAGTGGAGCAATTCTCTGATTTCATTTTTTGTTCCGAGGCTGAGGGGATGTCTGGATTTCTATTTACTTGCCAGATTCCCGGTGACAATCGGCAGACTATCGAAAGGGAAGACCCACGTGCTAACCAGGATCCCGGATGTACTAGTTAGTAGTACAGTATGAGTCTATGTACGGAGTGGTCTCGACCTATCACGTGGTAGTACAATTCTCGTTCCTGGCAGCCTCAGGCACAAACAGAAGCTCGAAGTATGACATCGGTGGATGTTTACATATTTAATACTGGCTATCTACTAGTAGTACTGTACCGCTGATATACTCATTCGGCATGAGACTTGCAAAGCCAGAAGATAATGATATTCATGATTATGAGTTTTGGCTCGAGTTAAATAATAAACTTGAACTTGAACATGATCGTCGAACTGGTGACACTGGAAATATTCGTTGCTATATGCAAATTCCATCCTCCCGTCTGATAATCAACCATACATTCCTCCATCTGAGGGCTCTCGGAGACTTGGATTCAAAGACGATTCTGCTTACAGCGCTTGCAAATACGTAGACGACAGCCGGCACATTCGTAGATAAATCTGGGAAGTTTGTCGGTACACCGCTCACACCGAAATTCCCCACGCACGATCATCCAGCCCTGGTGATCACACTCTTGGCGTTGTCGGAGCATCTCTGCTACCTCGTTCACAACGGCAGCCTCTAGTACGGCATTGTCTCGGGCCACAATTCGGTTTGCGCGGTCAAGTAAACGACGTTCATCCCGTAGCGGGCAACGGCATGTTTGCCACTTTTTGGCACAAACATAACAGAATTCGTACCGGCAACGGCAACTTGGAAGAAGTTAGATCAGTAGACAGTTCCAAACATGCAGAGGATTGATTGATCGGAGAGCACTTACGTGGTATGATTGCATCCCGTACTGAGCTCCACAATGTTTTGGCATTTAGCACAACGCTTCCAGCCGTAAACCTGCGCCATCCGGACTACTGGATTCCACTTCTGAACGCATTTTCCTTGATGAAATTCCTCTTTGCAGCGTATGCAAGTCTTCTGCTCACATACTTGACACGTGCCGCAGCTCCCTTGCTTTTGGCACGGGAGTATGTAAGCTGAGCAGGTTCGCTTTGAGCAGTACGTTCGGGAGGCGTCGTTAATCTCCAGTGTCTTTTCCTCCATTCGACGCGAGGTGTCCGATCCGATGAGTGTTCGCACGTGATCTAGAGGGATAGAGATGCCACAGCATCGCGGTGGGAACAGCGAGTCATCCCTCAAAGCAGCCCCAAAAAGTTGGAACAGGCAATCCTGGCAATAGTAGTCGGAACAAGGTGCCCTGATCACTTTGAAAAAAATGAATTGCTCGCGGCATATGACACATTCGAAGCGGTCTTGCTTGGGTTCATCGGCGTTTTCTGCTATGCTTCCTTTCAAGTCAATGTTTGCATCTTCGGCCATGGTTCTTTCAACCATTTGGCACATCTGTTGTTGGTAGATGGTAGGTGACGATCGGTTCTCGGGTGCTGCCGCACTCCCGCCCATGCGTAGAGCCATGTGTCGATCAGCCTGCGATCTCTCCTCTTCCTGTAGAATAGCCGAGATAAGAGCAGCTTCGTCTCGAGGGACGCTTGCCACCTTGGCAGCCAGTTGACAATCAAGAGAACGCTTGCATGATGTCGATCTCCCTTTTCCATTGTTCGAGAGCGAATTCCTCGTCTGTGGCGCAGCTGGCGGGCCTGGGCTTGTTCGTGTCCAGTATCTCTGTGATGTCGTCTTGCATGAGCTTGAGCAACAATGGGAACGATTTCTCAGCCATCTTGAAGGTGAGGCTCAGTGGGCTGAGCTGAGAGCTGAGAGCTGAGTAGAGAAAAGTAGAGAGCAACGTGGAGAGCAACGTGGAGAGCAACGTGGAGAGCAACGTGGAGTGGTAGTAGGGGAAAGAAGAAGATGGAAGGTGGAGGGTGGAAGGTGAAAAGTGGAAGAGGAAAGGAGCGAGGGTGATTGGCAGTGAATGAAGATGAGGGAAAGTGAGGGAAGTGAGGGAAGGAGCGAGGGTGAAGCAGTGAAGGACGGGCAGGAGCGTTGCGCGTCTCAGATCTTAGGCTCCTAGGTTAGTATAAATAGCCAGGGCAATTTAAGCTGGCTGTCTAGTAGTAGTTGTAGTAGGAGGAGGAGGAGGAGGAGGAGGAGGAAAAGGTGGCATGGATTAACGACCCGGTATCCTACCTAGTATCATACCTAGGCACTCAGTACCCTGATTTGTTAGGATCAAGCATGACACTGATAACTACTATTGATAACATTTGGTATTTTCCAAGGTTTCTATTGAAAAATCCTGTCCTAGTTGTAGACGACACAAGAGAGATAAAAAAGCAAGATCACAGCGCACAACTTTACCAGTCTCCCACCAAAGAAAACTAAATCGCAACCCTCTACTAGCCAGACCAAAATTGCAGGATCTAGAACTGGCGACTAGAGAAATAGATCGAAAGCATTTCCCCGTGGTCTCCCAGGCACATTATCTCCCCTCTTAGGAGGCGAAATGGGTATCACATCGTTCGGATTGACATCCGGTACCAATTTAAGAAACTCCCAGTAATTGTCACAAGCAATTATTTCTCTCTGACTGTCTGGAAACGACGCTGTATACAAAGCCTCTCTCCACCATGAGCCACTGAGTCTCCAAGCCGTTTCGCCCTTCAGGGGAGCCTGTCTCACAATAGCCTCCAGTGTATACCATTTGGTTCTCATTTCTCCCGCCGTAACCCTAGCTTCAATGATAACGGACTTTTTTACAACAGTATTGCTTGCCGTGTGGATAACGGTCTCTCCCAGGGAAATAGGCACTGGAATTGGGTTTCCATTGAATTGGATCAATTGATCGAGGTCGGTATCCCAGATAGTCATTGTATTTGCCCCGGTATCCTCCAAGAAATCCATGCTCCAATACATCCCAGTCACACCTGGAGCTCTGAGCTCGAACCAAATCTAAGAAATTAAAAAGCAATTAGTACGATAATATTCCATTTATCTTTCTTCCAAGGTGCTGACTCATACCGTATGGGAGGGCCATATATTGACCGCAGGGTTCGCGGGGATACGCATATGGGCCATTAGGCGTTTAGGTTCCGGACCTGAAAACTAGCGAACACGCGCCGTAGAGGTTAGCTCGAAAACTTTGGACGGTTAATATCAGATTCAAGGGGAAAGGGGAAAAAGGTACTCACCCCTTCGACCCAGAAGCCCTTCCCTGTGTCATGCTTTTTATGAAAGTCGAGTAAATCGTCAAATTTGAAATCCCTTGGCTTAGATAGCTGCTTCCCTTTGTTCCAGTAGGTGACCTTTGCCTCATAAGACCAGGAAAGCTTTCTGGATCTATAAGCTTTAATCAGAGCGTTGACATTGGGAAGCTGTTCATTCTCATCGCCATCTCGCTCGAGAATCGTCTTCATAGTCTTCAAAGTATTCAGTCGAGCGATAACAGCATTGTCGAGGCCTGCTGGCTCTGAAGCAATCATATCATCTATGTATTTCTTCCTCGCTTCATATTGCTTCAGTCGTATTTCAAAGACGGCAGGCAGGATTCCATCCTCGATACGCTCGCGATTTCGGGCAATATGGCCGTCAACGTCACTATATTGCAAAGATAAATTTAGTTCAAATTGTTCACGGAAGCGGGATTAGAGGCCAAACAGACTTTGGATCAAGATCAGGCTCATTCGGGTGCCACTTCCAGCTCTTGGGAATATCATTCACGTTGGTGATGGGCGGATCTTGACGGGGCCATCTTTTGTATTCGCCGCTACTTTCAGCTACCAGCACCTCCTGCGACAGCGGGGAAGGCCGACGAACAGAGCTGCGTGTCACGATGGTTCGTGATGTTCTTTGAGATCCACCAGTTTCCTTGAGAAGATCTTTGCCCTTGCCTGTACGACCTTTCTTTCCTGGAGGCGGAGAGGTCGATGAATCTGGGGAAATATCTCGTCGCCGTTTTTGATCCTTTCTAGGACGTGGCGCAATTTCGCGGCGGCGAGGCATTTTGAAGAAGAGTGAGATTCGAACTTGACAAATTAAGGCCTGGTAGAGATTGTGAAGAAAATGAGAAGATTGGGGCGCTGGCTGAGGCTACTGTATGGCATAGTTATATTTTTATTCAAAGGGGCGGTTTCTTGGGTCATTCGGGGACCTTTCATCAACTTCATTTATGAACATGTGTTTCATCAGAACATAGTATTTCTTTATTTCTTTGACAAGAGTGTTACGTTGTGTCTATTTCTGTAACTTATCCAATGATAATTTGCTAGTAGTATGATGTACATTGTTTCTCGACGTTGTGCATGGCAGGACTGAGTGCTACTAGTAACAACCCTCGCATTCGTAGGCATATATTCAAAGCAAAAGTCAACATATGCCATCTTCTAATAAGATACCCATTTGCAACACTTATTGGAAGGAGGGATTTATTGAAACAGAAGGACTTCAAAGAGCCGAATCACAAAACTGGAATTCACGTTCAGTTTCTTTCAACTCCCAACCCGATCTACGCCTGATTTCCGAGAAAGCAAATTTGGTTATTAGTTGTATTTTCTTTCAACTAGTATAAAGAACCAGTACTTAATTTTTTCCTGATTCTGGACAAGACAAGATGATCTTGAGGATCAAAGGGAAATTTTCAAGTTTATGCTTATTTGCTGAGGAAATCGACAATATGAAGCCTCCAGAATGACCGATAACGTACCCACTGCTAAAAGAAAGCACTGCATTTTAAATTTATATATGAAAAATAACAGGATAGAAAACCAGCAATTCCTAGTAATCACCACCAGTGGATCCATATAGATGTGTCCCCCGTTCAAGAACCTCGATCTCATCACCGACCCGAACAAACAAGCCTTGGTTCTCGTCATCTGCCATTTTCAAACACCAATCCTCTGGAACACAATGCATACCCAGGTATCCGAGCGCGCTTTTGTTACCATCTTCAACGGTACGGTGCTGTACCAAGGTTGTGCTTGGTTGTGGCTTTCCTTTCTTCCTATCCGGAGGCGCGTTATCAGTATCAAAGACTCCCTTCTCCGGGTCAACGTTGGGCATTGTGCACCGCGAAGTCCGGCATACAACAGAAAGAGTTGGGACTGCCGGGGTTTTTAACATGACACGAGGATCCTTTGGCAAGATAGCATAGCGTTTCCACGTCTCTTCATCGTAAGCGGCAGAATTCTCGATCCAAATATTTGCTCGAAAACGGAGTGCATTCAGGGGTTGGTTTTCGGCGGGGAGGAGCTTGGACACGGCTTGGACGGAGGATAGACTGTTTATGTTGATAGGTTGCTGGTCTGTGTATCCATGGACGGCCGGTGTGCCGATGTGTTCAAGCGGTGCGAGATTTTTATCGGTGCGCACCAGGGTGTCTTCAGTGCATCTGAAAAGCGATAGGCCTTGGTTATCGGGGATCTTTAAGAACTTCTTCAGCTTAGGAATGGCTGCTGCGACGGAAGGAAACTCGCACATGTCAAGGCCCATGGCTTCGCGAGAATGAATAGTGAAGGCCTTCGGCTTCGTTGCGTAGTCGTCGAGCCCTTCAGCTATAACATCGAGGGGTACGAAGAGTGATACTTTGGGAATGGCGGATAAGTCCCATGTGCGAAGAAGCGTATCAAGTCTATCGGCCCAAGAAGGTTTTTCTGGGTTTGGAAACAACATGACCAGATAACCAACATGATCACCCACGTTAGGAAGCCATATTTCAGTCTCAATCATGGACATGGCAGGCTTAGTGCGCTGACTGATAAACCGCCATTTCTCGGTCAAGTCAAGACCGTCGTTAAGAGGGCCCGTTGCGAATGCAAAACATCGGTCAAAGAGGAATCCAGTCTTGGTGAGTACAGCACAATCGACCTCAATGGGACCACAAGACTTGACGGGGTGGAGATAGAGTGCTTTGATCCGTGGTAGCCCGATGTTTCTAGTAGTTTCCGGGAGGCCAAACTTGGGATGATACTGATCTTCCATGTTGTTCACAGACTCCCCTTGCTTCTGATGGTTTTTCTTAAGCTTTCTGTGCGTTGTCGAAACATTTCCATTTCGTGCAACAATGATCAAGATGACGGGTAGCAAAAATATAGCCACTGCAAGGCCATAAATCGTGCGAATATCGCACAGAAGGCCCCAAAGAGACTGAGCAACTTGAACCAGCATGTTGAAAGAGTCGGTTTATATTATATTGGCGATGTTTTGTTTTTCGTTCAATTTCAATTTGAAAACGGACAGTTTGCCGAAGATCGCATGCACAGCTGTTCGTATCGAGGCGAGATGGGATGACCGAATTCCCCCACAGACGAAAATCACAGGTTTCGGAGCTACCGACAAGGCTAAAGTTTAGCTCGAAGAACCCAATCGATGCGGTTCCCTACTACTAGAATCAAAAAATATGTAAGACACGCTCGGGAAAGAAAGTGACTCAAATGTCAGTTTTTCGGTAGCCGAGAAACAGCCGATTATATCACGTGATTACAAGTACTGTATAAAACACTTGCACGAACGCTTCTATTGTATGCCAAGGTTTATGAATAAGAAATTGGGAAAACCATGTGGTTGGATTTGTAAGTGGGAGGATACAGCTAGTATTTAAAGCCTGTCGAGCTGCATTCAAGTTCCCGGATTAGAACTTGAAACCCCATACTGAAGATCTATCATCCTTTGTTTGATTCAGCTCATTGTAAAGTAAAAGAACGAAGGAGATGAGGCCCTTCAAACGAGTATGGAACTACTGATAGCTTCCATCGTAGCCTTCATTGATGCTGTGTCGGTGGCATTTGTGAAATATGTATAAACCTGACGATCCCTCGAGGCTCTGGCGGTTGCCGATGTTCGGAAACGATTAGCAAAATAGCCTGCAGCAGCCGAGAAGTCCGTAGTCGAACCCTGAAAATCGGGAAAATAATCAGAGAGCGGTGAACCAGCAAGTTTCTCCTTGAATATATCGACTTTGTTCAAGAGAATAACGAGAGGCTTGTCCTTGAACCATCGGTTGTAATAGATCGATGACTCGAAGCCCAGTATTATCTCGTGCATCATGGTCTATGCCAAAATAAGCGAACAGCGCCAGGGAGGCAAAATATGCAGGATCACTACAGTTTGAACATACCATACTATCGTCCTCGATCAAAAGTTGATCATAATCGGAAAGTGGCACGACATAAAGCACGCAATGAACATCTTCGAAAAGGAGTAGTCCCTTTCTCCGTAGCCCCGCTTCGTACTTACCTATTTTGGTCATTTCCCAAGTAATCGGACCTATGTTGAAGGAAATTTCAGTAATCCCCCGTGACCAAAGTCGAGCCTGGAGGGTATCTTGATCATTGGGGAGCCATTTGGGAGTAGTAATACGATCGGTAGAGTTGTAAAAACTAGTAAGTAGAACTTTGAGCATTGCCATCCAAACTTGGACTTGGAAACCACTTACTAAAGCCAATTGTCATAGTAAAACATATGGCGGTTCTCTGAAACAACCGTACACATTACAGGATCAAGCCACACGTTCTTCATGGCATCGCAAATAGCTGCATCTTCCGGAGCTCCGCTGAAGACAAGATCCGCATCCGTTTTGACAATCAGGTCCGCGGACGACTAGCATAAAACGATATGAGCTAAGTGGCAAATAAAGGGATTAGTACTGCCGAAGCTTCATAAGGTCAAACTACCTTGGCTGTCTCTGTACTGAATGACATTCTCTCCGTATCCATGTTACCTAGCAAAGAACTGAAAATACAGAGGAGGTTTTTCAATATAACAGGGCGTGCTTTATGGCGCTCCTCTTCGGAGAAGCCATTAGAGTAGATACTGTGCATTTGTTTCATCACGGTCGACTTTCCAGACTTTTTGATGCCTAGTAGATACATTTTAGCGAAGTCTCACGCGTCTCGGATAGCGCCACATACCGAGCAAAACTGTTTTGATGGTTTTCCTTGATCTTTCCTTCTCCGATGCTAGGTATTTTTTAATTTCCTTGTGGCGCTGAAGCGCCGATCTGGCTTCGGCATCTGCCGTCGATTTGGCTGCCCGGCTTCCAGCCATGTCACAACAAAGGAGGTCCATTGTCATCTAGAAAGAGGCCGTATATTAGACACTGCTTGAGTTGATGAAGCTTTCGGCCATTGGACTTCGTTGAATAATCTTACCTAGCATGAAAACAGCGATTAGTCGCTACAGGAGAGATGTAAGCTGATAAACAATGTACTCGAGCTGTAACAGAGCCTCACAGCCACGAACTACCACTTCACGTGGCACTTGTTGGACGTTCCGGCTTTCTAAATTATGCGAAAAATACTTCGTTCCAGAAAGGTTCACGGTCGGTATAGTGATCTAGGCATGGGTGAGTACGCCCTGGAGGCAACAACGTCGGGGATGGCCGGGCACAGCTGAACGCCCGACGAGAGCTGGGCGCAGTGCAAAGATACTGTCGTTGGTCAGTCTCCGGACATATGTGGGGCTTGAAAATGGCGAATGGTCATTTGAGTTTGATTTTGCCTCGCAATGATGTTGGAATGGCTGCGGTATGACTACCTAGTGGGTACTGATCATCGCAGCAAGTTGATTTCGAGGTCTAAAGTTGTTTGAGAAGGCCCGATTACAGGTAGTATTTGGAGGACGGATGCATATCGAGGTTTCACAATACTATTAACTACTACTACTAGTAGTAACTACCATCACGCGTAGTATAGTATCAAAAACCAGCAGTATCGACATCCAACCACTCAACACTCCCAGAAATCCAACAACCCACAATTCCCCCAGATCCTTTCTCCTCCTCTTCTTCCCCCTCCCATCGAAAAACAACCTCAATCTCCGAAGGCCTCCCCATCTTCCACCCCTGCCACACAAAAACTGACCTCCGCACATGAGCCAAAACCCCAGCATCCAAAAGACCAAACGCAAGCGCCGCAGCCGCAATCCCAGTCGCCGGATCTTCCATATACCCCGAAGACTTGGGAAACTGGCGCGCCATGACAATTTGCTCCTTAACATCGACAAGGGCGTACGGGTATAAACCCGTTGACCCGATATTCTCACAGATTGCGCGAATGGAATCTTGGTTCGGGGTGATGGATGCAAGAGTCTCTAAATTGCGAAGCGGGATTAGCGTTTTTGTTCGGGATGTTGATGCGTTTTGAACTTTTAGGCCGCTTAGATCTTGATCTTGATCTAGATCTGTCAGATCGAGGCCTAGCGCAGCGACAATGCTACGAAGGATTTTCAGTCCGTTTGGATCATCGGGTGAAGATGGGAGATCCTGCACTATGCCTCGAGGTTGTGAGACAAGGACACGCGTGGCCTTGGACTCCTTCCCGTCTCCCTTCCCCTGCCGACGCAGAACTCTCGCATCGACTATGCCCGACTTCGTAGAGATTCGGAATTCAGTCCCATTTCCACTGGTGGATGGGGGTAGTTGACCCAGTTCATTGAGTAACCATATCGCGCCGACGGTAGCATGGCCACACATTTCCATTTCGTGGTTCGGGACCCAGTATCTCATTGCGAGGTGACAATCGTCATGGTCGGGTGTGGTGGGGCCGTTGGTGAGTACGAAGCCGCATTCGTGGGTGTTTGATTTGGCGAGGGAGTGCATTTGCGTTGCAGTTGGATTGCCGAGGTAGATTGTTGTTGGGTTGCCTCCTTGCGATTTGGTGGTGTTAGTGGTGGTGGGTGAGTATGGGAACACTGATAAGTGGTATGCTTTGATTTTTTCCATGTTGGGATGGGGTGGTTCTAGTGCAGTGGTACTATTCAGAGGAGACGATGTTGTTGTTGAAAGGTGAGTTCTACATAGTTCGGACAAAGTAGGGAGAGTCCTGGTGAGGGGAATGCGGAGACAGACAAGGCTGCGGGAACGCTTATACGAGGTGAGGGGTCGTCCTGGCGTGAGTCATGGATGTCGTTTCACATTGTAGTTTATTTGCATTGAGTTTGAATGAGTGAATCGTGTGCGATTCCATAATCATGATTGTCGGGAGATGCCAATTGATGTGCCATCCTGCCCAATGCGTCTTTCCGAATGCGGAAAGCGGTTCGTCAACGCCGGCACATTGACACGCCACTGGAGAACCCATTGTATATTCAAGCTTTAGTACGTCAATGACTACTTAAAGCATACAATGCCTTCATGTAACTTAATTGAAAGCTCATGGGCAGAGGATTGAATTGAGTTGTGTCAAATAGAAAGCGGGGAGACTATGGAACGCCTAGCCCCACCGAAATTTGACGCGGATCGGCGCTAGCTCGTATAGAAAACGGGTCTATTGCTCCGTGCAGCTTGGAAATAAGCTTGGTAGTATAGAAGTGGGATCGTATCAGTCATTAATATTGTGGAGAAAAGAATCGCTATCTATGTGTACATGTGTGTTGTGTGATTATGTCTTAATGCCGATCTCGAGATTGGTGACTCCGAACGTGACATTCTTGTCCGCGGAGAAGGCTTCCGAGCCGAAACCAAAGTAGCCCAGGTAATCAGTGCTGGATGGGTAGACTGAGCCAGTCATATTGTACAGATCGGCGATGAGCGGGTAGATGTCGCCATTGAACTCTTCGACCGTCTCTGCCGCGACCCAGGTCAGGACATTTTGATCTGTATTCGCGTTCTTGTCGGAGTACAGATTGCTGTGGGAAAAAATTAGTATCGGTCGGGGGTATCAAGAGGGAGGGGTCGTTGGGAAGCCCATGAACATACAATTTCGTCCCATTGATCGTGTTGGTTGTGACAACCTTGGGATAGCCGTGAGGTTGGGTAGCTGGGCCGAACATGCCAAACCACACCATGACTTCGTACTTGGCGCTGGTGCTGCTCTGCGCGGTCACCTTGTCGCTGTCAAAGAACATATCAATGGCGACGTTGGTGTTGACATTATTGGCGGTCAATTCGGACTCGTCGGTGGTGGTTGCGATCTCGTCGCCGACACCGTAGGTCCAATGGACGTTGAGGTAGAGCTCTTGCATGTCGTCGAGGCCCACGGGCAGCACCTTGTCTACCATAATATTGGGGAAGGCATACACAGGGTCGGTCTCTGGGCCAGGGTCGAATTGCCATGTGACGGAGAAGTCGGGGGCTGAGTATTTGGTTGGGTAGGTCATGTTGTTGAATGTGGTGACCTGTTGGGGGTGAGATTAGCATGTGCGATAGGGTCTAACGAGGGGTCTAGTCTCATGAGGGACTAGTCGAGGCACTTACATTCATGCAGAGGGCGCCCTTATCAGAACCCTTTTGGACATTCCACTGGTTGGGATTGACTATGAAAAAATTAACCGGTCGCTCCAAAATAGGGTGGGAAGAAGGTCAGTAAGAACTTACGCGTGAAAGTTTCGCCATTCTTCGACGGCGGCGAGATACCATATGAGAGTTGACAGTAGGGGTTGGTTTGGATGCCATTGTCACTGACATCGCCGCCGCTGGACCCCGAACCACCTCCGGTGCTATCTTGACCACCTCCCGTGCTGCCACCGGTGCCGCGATTCTCATCGGGATCATTGGGATTGGGAGCGAAGAGTGGGCGTTGACCGGTGGCTGCGCGATGAGCGTCGATGCCGAATAAAGTGCCTAGACACCCGCCGATGGGCAGGGCCATGAGGCCGGCGTTGACCATCAACGACAAGGCCATGTGTGGGAATGAGGGTTGGTATGCCGGAGAGGAATGCGGGTAGCGGATAGGAAGATTAAAGAAAGTCAAGCCGGGGAAATGAGAGACGACTCGGAGCTGGGGAGTGTGAAAACAGTGTAGATCGGAAAGGGCCTAAAACGGTAATGAGAAGTGAGGATCGGAGAGAAAGAGAAGACTGGTGTAGATGCCAAGGCTGAAAATCCGGAATTATCGAGGTTGCAGTGAGGGTTGACTCCGTACTCCGTACGGAGTACAGGTGTGTGTATCTGCAGATACACAGAGATTCACCTCTGTGGGTGGCTGTGGAAAGTGATGTGTCTTCCGATCCTCCGATCCACGATAACCGGGTGCAGTCGTACCTGACCCTGTCGCCCCTCGCAGGTCCACCGGGGTCCACCCGGTGGATCAAGTGGATCAATTGGATGAATGAGCAGGTGATTGCAGGCTGGTTCTCACACGCGACCAGTCAGAGGACAGCATGGTTGGCGCAACGGTTGGTCAATGGCGAATGCAGGAACCGTGGGTTGGTTGGTTAACGGTTGTGCCTGGCTGGATCCCCGGGCAACTTGCGAGACAAAGGAAAATGTTTTCCCGAGGATTGGTTGTAAAATTCTATTTTAGTTATCTCCCGTACGGAGTACAGAGTACTCGTACCTCTGTACATGCACCTAATGTACCTAATGTACCTAATGTATTATGTGGATGGAGTGACTGCGGACTATGGTGACGCAAGCGGACGACGCAGTGGCCCGAGGAGTACTCGTACTCGTGTATTCTATTCTTGTATCCAATTAATACTATTGATCCTATTCACACTATTCATACACGGAACCCTTTATTCGATTCAGTCCCTACTGGACAGACTTCCAAGGGAGACTATTAATACTCGGGCTAATTTATGGAGGCAAAAGCCTCGGCCTCATCCGATCGCCACGGCTAAAAATTAGTGGAATTAGTGGGAGTTAGTGTGCTTTGGTAAACTGAATCATCAGAATCATAGCCAATCAGATAGGAATACAGTCAAATTACACACTGTGTGTACAATACCAGATAAGCCTGCCCGCCCTAAGCACTCCCAGCACCAAGCAACTCCAAGATTGCTTCTTTCTTCCCTTGCAGCTGGCCCGTCTTTGCTTTTTGCTACATCACATTCGCTACTCTCTCGTTGTTGTGTTCAGCCGTGTTGGGATTTTCCATCTTTTCCCATACCCTGCTTCTGTTCGTTCTTATTTGCTCCGGGCCCATTCTTCTCCATTCTCGTCCCGCCATCGCATTATCGCATTACCGCAACCGTAAGGTGCGGTCGATCGACTTGTCCAACATGAACGGTCAGGGTTATGGTCAAGGTCATAGTCAAGCTCACGGTCGCCAAGCGCAATACCCTCCTAGCCCCTATGGAAGTCCTTATCATGAAGAGGAAGAGTCCTTCGAATTGACTCCTCCTCAAAACTATCAAAATTATCGCAGTCATCCCAATTCCTCCTCCACGTCGTTCGACTTTCAATTCCCGGATTCTGCTGCTGCTGCTGCATCTGGTGCATCTCCATCCACTCGCCCCATCATGCCAATCCGACCGGGCCACAGCTACAACCACAATTACAGTCCCCCCGAATATTCTTCTTCATGGCTGCAACCGACGCCGCGCTTGTCCGGTGGGCCGGATTCGTTCCCCAACACTCCTTATGACTCTCGTTCGGCCTCCCCCACTCTGGTATGCTTTCGTCTCTTTCGTCTTTTCCCTCCTCTTTCTCTCATTCCCATGTGGCGCTGGCTTTGGTCGTGCACATTCCTGAGAGACACGAGGCATACCTGCTATAGAGCAGAACGTATGTGCGATGGTGGCCATGAAGCTAACTCAGATCTCTGTGCTCGAACAGTATCAGAACTCTCAACTCCAGAGTGCCGCATCCCTCACAAATTTAGTCGACTCTCCAGCGACTCCAGGGTTCGCGAAGGAATGGGTGCAGACTGGCTCGGGCTCCATTGCCCGTCTCGATGACCGCGACGATGTCGATATCTGGAAGGGCTGGAAGCGCTTCGTCTTCAAGTTCACTCCGCTATTAACCTTCACGAATACCGCTCTGTACCTTTTCTATCTGGGTCTTCGCATCTACTGTATCATCATGGCCCAGAATGCCGCCGGCTACAGCTTTGCTGGTGCCTGGATTTTCGTTGGAATTGAGGTCGTCACCGCCATCCCATCTCTGATGCACAACGGTTGGACCATGATGGCCTTGAAGAAGCGAGGCCGCGCGAAGCTCCGTTTGATTGGAAATGAATGTCCTACCGTCGATGTCTTCGTCACCTGCTGCGGAGAGGATGATGAGGTGGTGCTGGACACCGTCCGAGGCGCTCTCGATCAGGACTACCCGATGGAACGATTCCGAGTCATTGTCTTGGATGACGGTCAATCAGCCACCCTGGAAGACTCTTGCAATCAAATTGCCATGACCAATTCCAATCTCTACTACATGGCCCGTGAAAAAATTCCCGGCAAGCCTCACCACTTCAAAGCCGGTAACCTCAACTATGGTCTCGATCAGGTTCACACATTGCCCGGCGGCGCCAGCCAATTCATGGCCGCGCTCGATGCTGATATGGTAAGCACTCTAATTTCCCTGTACTATCCTTTCTGCGAGTCATGAACTAAACGGGTGGCCTTAGATCCCCGAACAACAGTGGCTGCGCGCCGTTCTTCCCCACTTGCTGGTGGACCCTCGGATGGCCCTTGCATGCCCTCCCCAGCTTTTCTACAACACCCCTGCGTCCGATCCTCTCGCGCAAAGTCTCGACTTCTTCGTGCATGTGATTGAGCCGATCAAGGACGCGATGAATGTCGCGTGGTGCACCGGCTCGGGCTATATTGTTCGACGCGAGGCGCTCGAGGAAATTGGCAATTTCCCCCTTGGTTCGCTGGCAGAGGATGTCGCGACTTCAACCCTGATGCTTGGAAAGGGCTGGAAGACTGCGTATGTTCACGAGCCTCTCCAGTTCGGTACTGTTCCCGAAGACTATGGCGGTCACCTGAAGCAGCGCACGCGTTGGGCCATTGGTACCGTCGACACGGCCTTCAAGCTCAAGTTCTGCGCTTGGGGTGATGCCGTCAAGAAGATGACCATTGCCCAGCGCTTTTCTGGATTCCTTTACGCTACCCTCAGTCTGTATACTATTCTCCTCACGGCCTCCCTCTTTGCCATCCCCATTATTCTCCTGTGGGGCAAGCAGCTGGTGGCCTACGCCAACCAAGACCAACTGCACTGGCTCATCTGGACCTGTTTCGCTTCGACCATCGCCAACCGTCTTTGTGAATTTGCGCTTTTCATTCCCGCCGGCTACCACACTGGCCAGCGTGGATCCCGCTACCAACTCTGGATGTCGCCCTACATCGCTCTGTGCATTGTTCGAGCTTTCATTCTCCCCAAGTGGCTCGGCGGGCAGACCCAGGCATTCAAGCCAACCGGTTCTCTGGGCTCTGAACTGAACGAGCGTGATGCCAACTTGCGGAAGAACCTGTTCGTCCGCCTACGCGTGGTTCTTTTCAACTTTATGGCTTTCTTCCACTTTGCCTTCGTCTACGTTACCATCATCGCGGTCGCAATTTCCACCTACCGATGCTTTTACAAGGAGAGCGGGTTCAAGGGCATTGTCATTTGCCTGATCACCCACGCCTTCTGGCCTCCTCTGACCTTCTTTTTCATCTGCACTTCCCTGTGGACTCCCGTTTCGTACGCCATTGATCCCCCAACCGTGCCTCAGCGCGAGGACCTGTTGGATCGAGACCCCAAGACTGGCGTGGCACACCCGACGAAGAAGAGCAAGAAGATTGCCTTCGGTGGCCAGGCTGCCTGGTTCGAATTCCAGTACGAGATTGCGACCATTGTGACGGTCCTAGTCTTCATCTACTCTTTCTTCTTCTAGTTGTACATATTGCATTTCTGAGATTTACTTATTACACGGCATACGGCGCATTTAATACCGGGTTCATATATTGGGAGGAATTATGACGAACACGATCGGTTGGGGCGCTTGTATAGTATCACATACTATGGATGAACAATTTACAGAATCTAAAAATTGGAAATTTAACCATCAATAACTATTCATTCTATTCCAAGGTTACTCCTACGTCTTTTGCTTCTTTTTGGGCCTCTTTCCATCTTCATCCAGACCAAAGGCCTTCCGCCACGACCCATCCTTGACCTCCTTATCATTCCCATGCAGCCCAACGTGGTATGCGTTTTTCATAGCGTCAAGGCAGATCGTCCGTCGGTCATTAAAATCGAACATTGGCTTAGGATAGATCTTCCCGTCCTCATTGGTCGAACTTCTGCCATCACCAGTGACCCTGCACTCCCATTTCCGCTGATCAGCGATTGGCGCCCTCCACGGCTCGTAGATGTACTTCTTATCAAACTTCGCTAGCTCCGGACAGTACCTCCGAATCAGGTTACCCTCTGGATCCCACTTCTTGCCAAAGGTAATGGGTGAGTAGCACCGGTAGAACTGGGCGAAGAAAGCCGTGCAAGAGAGCCACATCCAGTTGCCGATATTGCACGCCGTTTCGTCTGTAATCGGGATCACTTGTGTCAGCAACCGCTGTCCGCATTCTGCAATACAGAAAATGGAGGTAACTTTGTAGCTTGGAAAACACTCACGATCTATCAACATCTCCTCAAATACCTCAGCTCCTCGCTCCCAACTCACATAACACCCTCCCCGCGTCAGAAAGCAAGCAACGCTATGTCGACCCAAATGATGAATCCAACCTTCCTGCTTGAGCTGTCTCATCAAAGCATCAATCCAAGGAAACCCAGTCCTACCCTCCTTCCACCGTAAAAACCACACCTCAGCCTCCTCAGAATCCACCTCATACAATTTCCCCCCTTCCTCCCCATGCGCAATATCCTCAGGACTCTTACTCTGCAAATGCCAATCAATAAACCTCACCATAGGATTACCATAAGTCCGACAGAATGGTTCTCCAACAGCCGCATGTGCCGCAAAATACATCTCGCGAAAGAGCAATTGACCCGGCAAATTCGTCGGAATAGAAGCATTACTCTTCTTGGCCTTCTTCCGCCTCTCCATGACATCCTGCACATCCCACCAGAACTTCCGCACAGACAATGTGCGAAAATGTAAATGCGGCGACAGCAACGTCGTTGACTGCGGCTCAAATGCCGCGGGCGATGTATTCGGTTTCTCGAATCGTCCAATATACTCCTCATCCGCGATATACCCACCAAGGAGTTCCAAGGCCACCGTTTCACCTCCCCGATGCGGTGTCTGCACATCGGCAGGATCGATGCCGATTTCTTCTAATGTCGGCACACCGAAATCGTTCTCTGGTCCCATTATCCCTGCATACTGCTTATCCGTCGTAGAGCGATGATCCGCATTCATATCCGTCCCGTCGTTGGACTTGGATCCCATGCCTCCTCCATCATGCTTCACGCCCTTCAAATCCATCTCATCCCGCGTCAGCGGATCGGGGATACTCCTCGGCGCATCAATCGGTCTCTCCGGCACCCCATTCCCAATCTTCTCAACGGCCTTCTCAACCTGCGCCATACTTAGAGTCGGTTTCCCCCCATTTTTCCTAACAATCTCATCAACATCAAACAACGTCCGTCCACTTTTAACAATAACCTCCACCCCCGCCTCCTCCGCAAGCCGAACAACAACCCCATCCCTCTCCCTTGCATAAGCATCCTCATCCTTCTCAAAAACAAGATGTGTAACCCCCCCACGCGTTCCACAATTTAGGCAAAACGCTCTGCGGCGCTTCACGGATGAGCCATAATTGCTGGCGGGGGTTGAGCTTGCTGTAGGAGGCTGAGAGGGTCTTTTGGGACTCTAGCAGGAAGGACCATCTGTTGGGCCCGACGCGGGATTTATATACGTAGTGTGGGTCCCAGGTCCAGATTGGGATGAAGGTTGTTGGGTTTAGGGATAGGGCGGCGTTTAGGGCTGGTGAGTCGTGGAGGCGGAGGTCTGTCCTGTGCCAGTAGAGGACTATTTTTGGTTTTGCGGTGGGCATGTTGGATTGGAAGTTGAGCCTGGAGGGGAGGGGATCCGGGTCGTGATCGTGATGGTGGTATATATTGTCTGGGGTGGGTTGGTCGAGTTAATTGTTGAGGGGGGGAGGTCAATTGGTGTTGGGTGGGTGGAAGTAGTGACACTTTATGTTTAATCTTATTCAAATAGTCGATTGAAGACTGGATATGTAAAGATGAAGTTGGCAAAGTGATGGTTCGGATTCGGCGAACTTGTAGCAATTGACGTCACATGACGTACTGCATTCCCGATGGGTGATGACGGATAAAACGAGTGAAATACTTGGAAATGGCCTTGATCTTATGGAAAAGATTCTGTTATAGTGCTAGAAGTGGGGGAGTTATGACCTGTTGAATGGGAATTGCTCGATGGTCCACTAAGATCGACTTGGCATCGTGGGCCTATTATTGGTTCGATCTTCTGCAGCTCGTTTATGCTATATCGGATCGGAGGACTTGGAAGTTTTCTATTGTGAAATATGGAAAGAAGAATAGTAGTTTGAAGTGATTGGTGGGTTTTTATTATGCTACATATCTGCTGTCTGCACATCTGCTAGTAATTGCTATTTGTTCAGACTTGTCCTTAGCTCATCCGAGGTCCTAATCCGTCAACATAGATAGTATAGGTATACTTTGAGTTATACCACACCTTGCAATGTAAAACAATCGGATTCACAATAAAAGAGCTCCCCATCTCTCATCAGCAGCACATAAAACATCCAGATACGCAAGTGAACCATCCGCATAACCCATCCGCACAGCTTGCACCACGCCATTCGCGTCAAAAAAAAAAAATATTAGAAAATTTCAGCCATTCACCCAACTCACATCAAATAGAATTCCGAGCCAGAGAACCTTTGCACTTCCTCTCGAAAGGTTTGTCAGAAAAGGCTCTCGAGGTCCTTCCTGAAACTACCCAGCCTAAAATATTGTCAAGCCCGTATTGCGCGAACCCAAAGGGCAGAATCCTTGATTTATCCCAACCGACAATCCCTGTGATATTTCTGGTTTCGGGATTCACAGGGATATCCATCGTGCTAAGGTTGCTGTGACTGAGAAAAAAGAGAAGGCCTGGTGTTTTGAAAAGAGAGAGCGAGGTCTCTTGAGGACCCTTTCTATATTGGGTGTAAAGTCAGACGGTAATCCTGGAGCAAGAAGGTCCAAATTCGATTGGGACACCGCTAGCGAGATTGTAGTCGCGTCTGAGGATAGCTGTAGTTTATTCAAGCCCGTCAAGAATAGGTGCATTGGAGGCAGACGAACTAGCCTGGTCGATCATGATCCACATTCCCTAACAGACTACTAGTAGTCATTATTTCGACATCGAAAGGGACTTGCTGCATTAATGTAGCTAGCTAAATGGGGTCCCTTGAAATTAAGCTCGAGCTTATGACGCAGATATCACACTGGGAAATTTTCAGTTAGTGAACTTTTGATTCAGAGGAAAGTTCAAGTATCTTTGTGTTGAGATGTTCTTTGAACTTATATCAATGATACCGAAGGTGCCCAGGTGGAAATATCTGACCATCTCTCGGGAATTTCAGCGATTTCAGAGAGCTCACTACAACCACCCACTCATCATCTTAACCAAAATCCTCTTAGAATGCCAGAGCTCATCAAAGGCCACGGATTGACTCACGCCCGAGCCCCCCCTCTCGTGTCAGCCTTTCCCTCGGAAGATAGCGGACCCACCGGATTGGACGCCACGGCAGCGGGGTCGGGAGTCCCTGTCAGAACAAAGAGATTTTCGGTGACCCTCTGACTCCCCGTCTCCTCGTGGGCGATTTCCTCTATTTATCGCCGTGCCAGGACGTTTCTTCGACAAGGCGGGCAGCGAAAAAGGAAATGACATCCAACATGGAAATTCAAGATGGCCCAGCCACGGGCCGGGGAAAACTTCGCATCGTGGCTATCATGATAGCTCTTTCTGTAAGACCATGCGCCAAAGTGGATTCGAAACAAGAAAATCCCCCGATCCTAATTCAAAGTCATAGCTATCGATGTTTGTGGCTGCTCTTGATCAGACGATCGTCGCGACGGCCATTCCCACAATTGCTGCAAAACTGCATTCAGCATCTGGGTACACTTGGATTGGTGGCGCGTATTTGCTTGCCAATGCTGCCGGTGCTTGTATCTGGGCTAAACTCTCGGATATCTGGGGTCGCAAGTTGATCCTCCTCATTGCGGTTGCGTGGTTTTTTGTCAGCTCGATTATCTGCGCTGTTGCTGTCAATATGCAGATGTTGATTGCTGGTCGTGCTCTGCAGGGTGTTGCTGGTGGTGGTCTTCTGCAGCTGGTGACCATTGTTATTTCCGATCTTTTTAGCGTGCGGTATGTCGAAATATCTATCCTTTCTCCTTGTCTTTTCTGTGCTGACATTTCGACAGGCATCGCAGTCTCTATCTTGGACTCATGGAATGCATGTGGGCACTGGCCGGTGGAATCGGTCCACTCATGGGAGGTGCTTTCTCCGAGTATGTCACCTGGAGATGGAACTTCTGGATCAATCTTCCCGTTTCTGGATTTGCATTCGTTCTGCTTTTCTTCTTCCTAGACGTGCACAACCCAAAGACCAACATGATGGACGGCATTAAAGCTATTGATTGGTTTGGAAGTTTGTCTGTCCTTGGTCTAACATTGATGCTGCTCCTCGGCCTGGACTTTGGAGGTGTTACTTTCGCGTGGAGTTCATCACAGGTTATTTGCTTGATAGTTTTCGGCTCTCTCTGCTCTTTGCTATTCATATATAGCGAGAAGCGCCTAGCTAAGTACCCTATCATGCCACTGGGTATCTTCAGTCGACCTTCGAACGTTGCTGCAATGGCAGTGGCTTTTGCCCATGGATTTGTAAGTCATATACGCTGCACGTTGACATGTAGCTAGCCTACTGACACTGGTATAAAGGTTTTCATTGCGGGTGAATATTACATTCCTCTCTATCTTCAGTCCGCCAAGGAGGCATCGCCAATGCGATCTGGTATCTTGACCCTTCCCGTCGTACTTGCAGAGGCGTTCTCTGGCATGATGACTGGAGCGATCATCCACCGCACGGGTCGATACCTCGAATTGGTCTGGATAGGATTGGTATTGATGACGATCGGAACTGGGTTATACATCAGCCTCGACGTTGATTCTTCACTGGGAGAAATTGTCGGCTTCCAGTTTCTCAGCGGTTTCGGAGCTGGTTTCCTCTTCCAAACGCCCATCATCGCTATCCAAGCAATGGTCACGCAAGATGAAACAGCCTCGGCAACAGCTACCCTGGGTTTCATCCGTAACATGGCTACGGCAACATCGATCGTCATTGGAGGCGTCGTCTTCCAGAATAGCATGAGTCAGATGAAGTCCGGTCTCTTGGCTACTGGTATGTCAGAAAGCTTGGCCGAGCAGATGACCGGTGGCTCCGCGGCTGCGAGTGTCGAGATCATCAAGACGATCGAAAACTCTGCACAACTGCTTGCCGTGAAGGAGGCTTTTGCAGGGAGCATGAGAAACATGTGGATTCTGTATACTTGCATGTCCGGCGTTGGCGTTTTTTGCTCCATTTTCATCTTGAAAACTCGCTTGAACAAGGAACACGTGGAGACTGTCACAGGTTTGGATCGTGAGAAGAGGCCTGTACTTGAAGATGTGCAAAATGTCAGTGCTTAGACATTTAGCAAAGAGGCTAGTTGAGGTATTATAATGCAAAATAGTATCTTAAATAATGCGATAAATATGGACATATTATGTTAGGAAAGTATATACAGTTCAAATGAAAGGGAGTAGAGTACCAAGGTCAGAAAATTCAGGTTAGTAGTCTCCATTGGGCTGGAGAGACAGTGTGTGGTGGTATAAAAGAAATAAATGGCAAAAGAGTGCTCAAAAAGAGGGACCGCGGAGGAGAAGATCACTGGCTAGAGCATTGTCCACCAGCAACGCAAACAATTGGAAGATCGGCCACACTACGACCGACCCACAGCTTGACGCCCTTGCCATTGACGGGTGCTTTCCAATCCTGCACCTCGACATCCCAGACACTCAGATCCTTTCGAGTGATCTCAAGAGTGACAGTTTCAGATTGGCCTGGGGCGAGCTCCTTCGTCTTTTCAAATTGACGTAGTTGAAGGGCGGGCGTGTCCAAGCCTAAGCTAGATGGCAATTCAACGTAGAGTTGGGGAACGGCCTTGCCTCGTCGGGCTCCGTTATTGGTAACTTGAACCTGTACAGTGAATGCAGTTTTGTATAGCGCTGGGTTTCCACCCTCGCCGCCACCGGCACGGGATTCTGGCTGCGTTGTGTTGTAGCCCTCCGGATAGGAAAAGTCGTCCGATACTTTGATGGACTCTGGGTTATCAAGGTAGGGATAGAGGTAACGCCAGATCCGAGTGAATTTCGTCGAGGACCATGCGACCTCAGACGCCGCGGGGATAGAGTTGTTATATACCGGGGTCGAGCCTTTTGTGGGTCGAGCCGGTGGGTAGGCGCTGTCGATGGCGGTTACCACAGAGATGGTCGGGTTCGAGAACTTGAAAGTGGTATATGACAGACCGTGGCCAAAGGGATAGCGAGTGCTGATATTGGACTTGAGGAAATGTCGATAGTCCACATATAGACCTTCAGTGAAGGTGTCCTGAATCTGACCGAAGGGTTGGTCAATGATGCCCACGCTGTCAGGGTAGTCGGATTCACTGCGGGGAATCGAATATGGCAGGTGGCCGCTAGGACTGAAGTCGCCAAAGAGAATATCCGTGAGCGAGTTTCCAGCCTCTTGGCCAGGAAGATGTGCCACAACAACAGCCTTGACCGACTTGAGGTCAATCCACTCTTCCATGAGGATGGGCCCGACAGTATGCACAACGACCACAACATTTGAAAATTTCTTTGCTGCGGCCTTGACAAGGTCATCTCCGTCGTGCCAAGCATTGAGACCAGCCTTGGTACGGTCTCCAGGATTCCCATCAACGGTGATATAATTCTCTCCCGAATCAGCATTGATGAAAACGACTGCAATATCCTTAGACGTGGCAGTCACATCGCTAGGGAAGGAGTCGGTGATATAGAATTCAGCAGTTTTCGAGATATTCGCAATGGCCTCCTGTGGTGTGATGAGATAAGGCAGTCGAGCGGTTCCGCTACCCCAGCCCATAGTTAGAACACCCTTGTTGCAGCCTTGGTCGGTGCAAGAGTTTAGGCCATCGGGATTGCCGCCTGCATCGGTGCCGAAGATTTTGAGAGAGTCGTTTCGTCGCAAGGGAAGTATGCCTTGCTCATTCTTCAGCAGAGTGACGGCCTCCCGCGCAACTGCTCGAGCGGTGACATTGTGATCGCCTTGCACATTGACGAACTGGTTCACGACACCGCTGGGAGAGAAGAGAGCTCCGGGATAAAGAGGCCCAGTTTCAGACTGGGTGTTTGTAGAAAAGTTGGGAAGAGGATAATCTTTATCCTGGCCAAGTTTGTACCACGTAGCAACGATTCGGGTGACCTAGATTTGTATTAGCATGTGTAGGCATTCGGTGCTAACCATTGTACATACCATGTCATTCAAGCGGTCAACAGGAATTGTGCCGTTCAGAATCGATCGAGACAGCTCTGGTCCCCAGTAGCTATCACCAAACAATGGAACAGCACCGTCACCAGGCATACACATGTCGAGACCAGCTAGTGCAGATCCGACACCGGAATAATGTCCAAGCCAGTCAGTCATGACGAATCCCTGGAAGCCAAGTTCATCCTTGAGAATGCCATTGATGAGCTTGCTATTTTGGCTACAGGCAGAGCTGTTGACCTAAACAGTGTTAAAAGAATCTCCGTAAATGCTCCAATTCAAACTTACATCGTTATAGGCAGTCATCAACGAGCCGACTCCTGCGCGGACGCCCTCTGCAAAAGGCCATAGATATAATTCATGTAGGGTACGATCGTCGATGTTGGACGAGTAACCCTGGGTAATGATACTGCTCATGCGGTACATCTCCTGCTCATTCCCAATGAAATGCTTTAATGCGGCGATCGCACCCGTGCTTTGCATCCCTTTGATCGTCTGCGCGCCTCCGACGGCTTGTAGAACAGGGTCTGCACCAAAGCCCTCCCAGTTTCGACCACCCCTGGGCTTGCGTCCGAGAGCACCAACAGAAGGACCTAGTTGTACATTTACACCCTTTCCTCGGGCCTCTTCGCCGATTGCGACACCACGAGCATACATCAACTCCTTGTTGAATGTCGCGCCCGTCGTGATTCCAGGCGGAAATGCAGTGTTATGGTCCGAATTTCGAATCCCTAGCGGCGAGTCCTGCAAACAGATGTTCGGGATGCCGAACCGAGGAGCGCTTCCTGTCTGTCCCACGCAAGGTCCCATGAAGAAACCAGTTCCGGTGGTCAGGTTGACCTTCTCCGCCAGTGTCATGTTACTGACTACCTGGTATGCCTTTTCATAGGCTTCGGCCCAGTCGGAAACCCATCCGCCATGCGGCGTGGGATAGAACGGAGGTGATTGATAATCATCCGATGTATCGTCGCGTTGCTCGAGTTTCACTGGGTCGGGCACAGCATCAGGTACTGGAGATCCGACCAGCAGCTGAGGCAGTAGTAAGCCCAATACGAGGCGTGTCCAGGGAGCCATAGTGACTACCAGGCGGGGCTGAGAAACGAGTCACGACAGACAAGGCGCAAGCATCCACCCGCGCTGTACTACAGATGGATGGCAGGTTAGGTGACACAAAGATAATGCGATATCATGTCCCAAAATCTCTGAATAAAACAGAGAGGGGCAGTCGCGAGATCCACGTGCCTCCAGGAGTCATTTTCTTCTAGGCGATCCTTGCTCGGAGGAATGGAATGGATCTACTTGGTCCGTCCAGAAAGAAGGGCGACCATGGCATTCGCTTGCATAACCGAGTTCTGAACATCGTAATGCACAGCAGGGATAGGTGGAATACCCCCGGCTCCTTTTCAGAATAAGGACGCCAATGCTGGGCTGTGGCCCAAAATAGGAAGAGCCGGTAAACTATCGACGACGATCCTGCAGGCCCCCGGATTATCATTTCCTAGAATAGCCAGCTGTCAGGGGTTCCAGCAGTGCAGGTCATTCGATCTGTCTTCAAGCATGGGTTTGCCGAACTCTGTGGAGTGTTCGATTTGGTTCATGTTCCAAGGTTGTCTGTCATGATTTACCCGAATTCTACTCCATCCGGCATGAAAGCCGGGGTGTCTTGGAAGATTCGCGATCGCCGGCCCACACTTTTCTACAAAGTTCCCGTCGCGTGGGTGTTTTGATTGACTCGTCATATCTTATTTTACATAGAGTGAACCTCCGAGGTTCATCCGGCCCGTGGCGATTTAGAACTTAGTGTAGCGCAGGTAGGGCTTGACTTCACGAACCTCGCCGAACTTCTTCTTCGCATCAGGGGTGGATACCGAGGGGGGCACGATAACATCGTCACCCACCTGCCAGTCGATCGGGGTGGTCACGCCTTTCTTGTCACCGGTCTGCAAGGAATCGATAACACGCAGAACCTCGGCAGAGTTGCGGCCGGTCGAGGCAGGGTACATCATAGTCAGGCGGATTTTCTTGCTCGGGTCAATGATGAAGACGGAGCGGATGGTGAACGCAATGCCCTTCTGGTCGATGTTGTCCAGGTCCTGCTGATCGATCATGTCGTAGAGGAAAGCAACTTTGCGGTCGGCGTCGGCAATAATTGGGAATTGAACATCGGTAGAGGCAACCTCGTTGATATCCTTAATCCACTCGCCATGAGAACCGATATCGTTGGCACTCTAAATTGGTATCGCGTTAGCCTATGTAACTGAACACCCTTGCTCACAAGAGATATGACAACTCACCAGCCCAATCATCTTAACGCCACGCTTCTCAAACTCATTTTTCAGTTTCGAAAAGGCACCAAGCTCGGTGGTGCAGACGGGGGTGAAATCGGCGGGGTGGGAGAACAGGATGGTCCAGCTGTCGCCAATGAACTGATGGAAATCAATTTCACCCTTGGTGGTGAGGGCCTTGAAGTTAGGTGCTGATGAATTAATTGTGAGCTTGAATATCGAAATCACGAGGATAAAGATGCAATCCCATACCGGTCGACCCAAGACGCAGTCGAGGTTGTTCTTGGGCGGGAGCTGCGTAGAAGCGGCGGAAGGCAGGCTGAGCTCGAGGCAGTTGGGTGGAAAGGCGAGCCCAAGGGGCAGCCTTGGGAGCTGCTCTAAAGGCACGGCAGACTTGAGGAGTAATGAAGGAAGCCATTGTCAATTGAATTGGAAGTAGGATGAAGTAAGAGCTTGAAGTATCCCCAGGTTCGTCAGTCAAGTTGAATGGCAGCACTCCGTCATTTCCGTCATTGCGGGGCTTAGCTCAGCAAGCACGCAATACGCTAACCGCATGCGGTAATCACCTTGTGGTAAGCAAAAGAATTTGTATAACTACAAAGTGTACAAAGTATACAAACAGATAGCGCGTCACAGAAAAAAGGAAAAAGAAAAGGAGATTAGCTGCTGGCAGACAGAGTCAATCTGTCGACCAGAATAGTCTGGAAAATTCTGAAAAAAGGCAGAAAGGTAAGCCCGCAACTCAGCTTCTCCTATCCCGCATAAGGACTTTCCTAGAGGAACCAATTGCTCCCCTAGACCATAAAGGTCTACGTGCCAGGACAGAGACTTCCTAGAAAAAAAACCAAATCATCGCTCCCCTTGGGTGACCGATTTCACAGCGAATATCCTCACCCAGCATACCATGATTCACAGGCTGGGTCTTTTGGTTACCTTGGCTTCTAACCAACAGTATTACACTGAAAATCTATTGAACTGCTCATCCTCAAAATCTTTTTCATAGTTCAAATATAATTCAAGGTAGCAGTCAAATATTATAACCGGGAAAGAAATAAAATGACTCTATACATTGGTCTATTTATTAAATTCAAGTTGAGTCGACTCCTGCATATACTGTTTCCCCTCTGACTCGATTGGTGGAAATCATATCATCAATGGCACCTAAGCAAGAACCTGCATCTTACTGCAGGCGCACTGCAGGCGCCATGCATCTCGACCCCTCTCCAAGTCGGAGTTAAGCTTACAATTCCAAGGTCCTCCTCAGGAATATCTGAGAGATGGTCACAGGCAGCTAGAAACTATAGCATGTGGCCGTGCTCGCAAGGCACCCCAAGTCCGTGGCACATCCAGAGTACCACCCCTAATCTGCCATTTTCAAGTCGTTGTGAGAGCTGATCACGTCTCTACCTAGGTATTTTCCTGACATGCAGATAGAGCGTAGGGGCGTTGATTTTGAACAAGTGAAATGACAAACCTCTACTTCGCCCCGGAAATCATCGTCGGTTTTAAGTACTAGTAACTTGTAGATCGGAGGGTTCGGCTTTTGCTGACGGACCAGAAAGGGTAACAGCTGACGGTTTCACCCAGCTATACGCTCAATGCTTGTGCAATATAGGCGAAAGGATAAAATAACACTCGTTAAATACATGTACCTGGTTCTTTCATTGCCAGTGCTCTCTTAAATTTCGTGATCAGCATGACCACTACAGCTGCACTCCCATTAACAACGACCTTCCTACCACCGGCCGACTGCACCACCGATTCGTATCACGTATTATGGTCAACCAGCTCAAATTATTCCTGGTGGTGGATTAGTCTAGGTGCGTCCGACTGGTCCACCTGTTTCCCGTCCGGCTACCAGCCCACGAGTTATTTCTCGCCGGGCGTGTGCCCAGATGGCTATACCACTGTCGGCCAGACGTGTATATTATCCGACGAAGAGACCCAAGCAACGTGTTGTCCAAGGTAGGCAATTCGTGACTCTCCAGCCTTGGGGTTATCACCAGGTCTAATCTGACATTGGCATCATAGCTTCTATAACGCTCAAACCGGCCTTGACTGGCCGTGATATAGTTCAAACCCATGCACATCAACTGTTACCGACACCGCAAATGTGCACAGTTTTACATGGCAAAATAAAGTATCTACGGAAACAGGAATCTACGGTATCAATGCGAAAGGAATTTCAATTCGCTGGAAGTCAGATGATTTCCCATCACAAACGTCTACGTCGGACAATTCAAAAGCTACACGAAGTGGAACAAATCATCATGCACAAAGCAGCGAGCTTTCGACTGGAGCAAAAGCTGGAATTGGAGTCGCTTCCGCTTTAGGGGCCATTGCACTTCTGGTTATCGCTTTTCTTGTCTATCATAGAAGACGAAAGACCGGCCCAAATGTGATCGTTCGATCAAACAGACCAAGAGAATCGGATTCGAGACCGATTCACGAGGCGCCCCGAGGCTCTGTATATGAGATAAACTCGGGCGTTGGGACGTACGGTAGCATACATGAGGTGGAGTCGAATTCCAACAAACCGGTGGAGATGCCAACGTACACTTGATGGAATTCATGTAGTTTAATCAGGCAATTGTCATTCCGAGAGCGAAATTGCTCGAGTAAAATCCGAACAAAAATGCCAGTAGATCACTTTGGGGCATGGAATTGCCATCCCTCTCGCGATCACCTGTCACCACCAGCATTGAGTTGAAAGTAACTATGGTACACATGGCATCGCAATTTTAAGCGGATCCCTCGCGCGAAACAGTCCAGCGTCATCCATCTTGGTCAGAGCTGTGCAACAACAACAGTAAAGTTGATCAACGGAAGCGCATGTTTACAATGCTCCTCAAACTCAGCAACCAACACCTCAGCCTGACTCTTCGCATGCGCCTCATACATAGCTTCTCCCGTAATTACCATAGAAGGGACAACCAGTGCCCGAATAACACCAACCACCCACTCCTGAGCCGCATCATGCAGGTACTCCTTGCCCTTTGTAGTGTATGTCTGACGGTGGATATTCCGGAACTCGCTAGAGCAGAGCTCTTCGTAGACGCGCTGGGGGGCAAAGGGGCTCATTCCCATTTTGATCATGGCGTGTCGAACAGATTGAGACATCTTGGCAATGGCGGGAATTTGGGGGGTTTTGTCAGTGTGGAAGGTTGTGATGTCAACTTCTTCCCATTGGATGTAGCCGTTGGGCTCTATAGCGTAGCAGAAATGATAAGCATTCGGCATTTGCCAGATTTTTCAAATCGAGGGAGTCAATTAGCAAACGTACTCAGTAATTCGCGCACATTCTTCAGCGCAACCTTGTAAGACTCGGTCTTGAGAGCTGCTGTGAGAAGACGGATGTGGACAAAGTCATAACGTCCCCTATGCTCTGCGGGCCATTTTTTGAGGATATCGTGCACGCTTAGCAGGATCCATGTCTTTCCAGGGCCGTGAAACTGGGGCTGGGGAGGGAATTGAGCCGCGGAGATGTCGAAGCCTTGCAGATGTAATGGGGGGATGCTGCTGGGGAGAGTTCGCGCGATTTCTTTTAGCCAGATTCTGCGTGTCCGGTTAGATAATTTTCGGCTCTTGACTCTTGGTTATTGTTTTGCGTTTATGTGGACTCTCACATACCCATTGCCAGTACCTAGATCCGCGATAGACGTGAGCTGATTCTTTGGGATCGAGGGATGAATGTACTGATATCCCAGGAGATCTATCAGAAACTGGTGTTGCTTGTTCAAACTAGAGTTTTGGAAACGAAGAGTTAGCGCGTTCCACCATTAAGGCGAGATGGAAATGGTTTCTCCATATGCAAATCCGATGTTTTGGGATCAAGGCTGTACGGCCAACTGCATGATCCCAAGACAAGATTGGATCTGGGGATCTGGGGGTACATGACTTTGCATGAAAATGTGGATCTCAACAAAGTATATCTACCCTGATGATTGTCGAGGATGACATCTCAAAGAGGTATAAGAGTAGCAGCAGATGGATGTGAACAGGGATGACCAACTTACCGTTCAGTTTCGGCACGATCTCGACTAAGGAGATAAGTCTCTTGACCCGGTAGCGTATTTGCCATGGTTGTAAAAGCCTCCGAGAAGCCAAAGATGGGATAGATTGGTCGAGGGGAAAAATAGAGCGAATGAGAGTAGGAACAGCGAGTACGGAGATGGAGAGCTGGTTGGTGGAAAGGGACGATGGTTGGGAGGTGACGTGACTGAACAAACGGAGCAACCGAACCAAGAACGTGCTCCTTGAAGTGAGGACTTCGAAGCAGAGACATGGTGCCCATCCATCAGATGCCTGCCAGCTTCTAAATCCACTTTTCCCCTCGCATGGTATCTGGTCGGAGTGGTTGACTAAATCGACTAGTCGGTCTCTATGGGTTGCAAAGCGAAGATTATGGGGTTCCTGAAATGAGGAGATGGTTTACCAAGCCACACTTGAAATACTAATGTATAAATGCATCCAATCCTTCAAATCACTGAGGAGTGTAGGGTAACACCTTCCAAGGTTGTGATTAATTGGCTCAGAACCATGCCCACCAGGGTTTCGATATTCAGTACCCACAGCAGCATTTGATCGTTATAGTGAAGTATTCCTCGAGATTTTGTACTCTCTATTTAATTAAATACAGTATTTGTGTACTTGAAGTATTTAAGTAGCTACTACTACTATGACTACTATTATTTATATGTACAGACCAGAGCGAGTAGGTAGCAACTTTGAAAGCAAGACACAAAACAAAGCAACTTCATGCTGAGTTTAGAACAAAACCTACTAGATGTTGGCTAAAACAGAGAGATCATGATTATTCAACGAGCAAACTTTGGAAGTAGCGGATATGGTTCATTCACCGCATAGCTGCTACCCTTTGATATTGCTATTTGCCTCGCCATATCAGGTAGCCTCTTATTCGCCACACCCTGGGCAAATTTTGATTGCAGAAATATGATTAATAGTCAGGTGGGTTTCATGTGCAAGAATGATTTCCAAGAATGATTCGCAAGATACGACCCAAGCCTCGAAAAGACCGTGACCCTACACTTGTCCGACCGACCTCGCTCAATGTGATACCCTAACCTACGAAGCGTGGCACAAACATCCCCAGAAAAGACCAGATGCATGGATGCAAGATGAAAGGTATAATTTACACATGCCACGAAAAAAAAGTAAAACAGCCCTTGCGAACTTGAAAAGAAAACCGGAAAAAAGTAGCTAACCCCCGCAAGAAAATGCTTTCAAACTTTATCCACCAAATGCGCGAAAACATATCGGAAAATCTCCCGACTTTTATACAAATTCTCCACCCTCATCCGCTCATTGTCTAAATGCGCGTTATCACTGGCTTGACCACAGGGAAGGTTCGCTGCAGGTGCAGAGAATTCTTTCTCCAAGAATCGGATTGTAGGGATGGAGCCACCCTCACGGATAAAGATTGGCTTCACGCCGCCGGATCGTGCGTCTTGCGATGGCAAAATTGAGATGTCTGAACTATCGCTCTGGGGTTCAGACTTCGATCGGATGGGAAGGGAGAGTGATTCTTCGGATGAAGCTGCTGCTGTCGCTGCTTGGGTGAGTGTCGACGAAGTCGGGACAGTGGCGCTTTGTTGGGCGGAGCGCTTGCGCGCTGCGGCTTTGCCTGCGGAGGAGGTGGTCGTTGATGTGATGACACGATCAACATGGGAAGCGAGGCTGTCGGATGAATCTTGGCGGAGAAGGGTGTGCGCTGCAGACGGTTTGCTGGTCGGGGTTGCGCGGCCATTTGTGAGTTGGGGGACGGCTGGATATTGATGCTTCGATGTTTGCTCATTTGGTGTCCATGCTGCGGTGATTGCGTCGGAGAGTGTTGCGAAGATCTGGTTGTCTGGGTCGCCGAGCCATGCGTCTGATTTGCCTGTGATCTCTACGGTAAGGTCATTCTGCGATTCGAGCAAGTCGAACTGTTCTTGGGCGAAGGCTGTCAAATTTGCTGCAACGTCATCGGCCTGTTGGTCGGGGACGATACGGATGGAGAGGCTCGCCTTGGCTCGTCGTGCGATCGTGGTTGTTCCCTTGCTTCCCGGTACCTCCATCGAGTGGATAGTCAAGGAGGGTTCGCGCCAACGATATGTGAGCGACTTGATCAAGGCTTGGCTGCTCGGGATCTCGGGGTGGTGAGGCAACAGGACGTCAGCGATAGCCTGGAATCGCTTCTCCTCGGCCTCTGTGAGGGGCTTGACATTGTCATGGAAGCCAGGAAGATTGATCTTGCCCTTCCGCCCGACCAAAGTCGAGACTAGGATCGACAAGTCTTTAACAGGCTCGTCCAAAAGGGCACTGCCATCAATACCACTGTGCAGATCTGGGTGATCGCTTGTCACTACCAAATTTGCATGCACAACACCTCGGAGCCCGTATGTCAAGCAAGGATTATAGTCGTCCAACCAGTAGCTGTTGGCGAGTAGAATCCAGTCCACAGGGCCAATCTGATCTTTATGTTCTCGCACTGTTTGGTGGAAGCCCTGAGATCCCGACTCTTCCTCGCCCTCAATAAGGAACACCACACTGCAGCGAAGAGACTTCGTGCGGGCCAAATCAGCCGCGGCATAGAGAGATGCTAGGATGGGACCTTTGTTATCCGACACACCACGGCCGTAGAGGAAACCGTTGATCGACGTGAGTTGATATGGGTCCGATTTCCACTTGGGTCTGTTTGCATCCGCGCCGACAACGTCGTAGTGGCCATAAAAGAGAATGGTTTTCTCAACCTTTTCGGGGATGTCGCGTTAAATCGGGCATAGACAATAGGATTGGTATCCTGTCCAGTGGTGAGGAGCTTTGTCTTGGCACCAAGGTAGTTGCAGTGTCGACGAAGGAACGCGGCACCTTGGTTGCACTCGCCGGCGAATTTCGGGCTTGCTGACACTGTTTTGAATGACACGAACTTTGCTAGGCTATTAACCATTTCATCGTTACTGATGGGCGGGAGTTCTTCTTGAGTTAGGAAGAACTCTGTGAGATCCCATATTCCCACCGTGTTGTCATTTCCTCCAGTGGCATAGATATGACGGTCCTTAAAACGGCCAGCCGCGGACGCCAGCATAGTACCTTCGTGAGCAACCCAGCTACCGACCTCTTCGAAACGAGAATTGAATTTCTATACCAGTTAGTTTAATTGACCTTGGCGAGCAATGGTGGGAGAAGTCGATGTGCATACCTTCACTACTCCAGTTGCATCACCGCAGATTGCAACGCCTTGGATAACATGGACTGCCCACAAGTCGCCAGTATGACGAGATATCCGTTTAACGAGCTGCTGTGAGTCGAGATTCCAGATGTTCAAAGCCCCGCCTGCAAGACCACAGTATAGCAATGAGCCTTCAACCGCGATGGAGAGAACAGGGTCTCCATTCTGGAGCTTCGCGATCTGCGTCGGGGCAGCACCGGGAGTTTGACCAAGACGCCAAAGCTTCACTACACCATCCCCTGAGCCGGTCAGCAGCGCCTCCTCGGATGGTGCTGATTCAATCAGGCCCTTCACCAGTAACATGGAGTAAACATATCCATGATGGGCAAAGATTTTGTGATGGTCTCGCTTGAAAGTTAGAACCCGTCCTCCTTCGGATACAGACTGGGCACCATCTGATGGCCTAGGAGCCCGAGGTCCCATCCGGACCCTTCGAATCAAAGAAACGATGAGTCCGTTTAGATGGATGCGCGGCTGAGGCCTTCTGGTTGAGAGTCGAGCCTTCTTCAGACAAATCACACCACTGGTGGAGTTAGTGGCGTGCTCATATAGATCGACAAAGGGGGTACGCTTACTTGAATGCTAGTATTTTGAGCACCACAATACAATGTCTGATTGTTGGCCGAATAAACAACAGTGAAAATATCACCCACATCATGGTGAGAGTAGATGGAATAGAGGCGTTCAAAAGTCCTCGTTGACCAGACCTACTTTGGTTATAAATCTGGAATGTTTACACTTTTTGCGGAAGGGACAACAATTACTCACATTGATCACAGAGTCACCGCCACTGGAAAACAACAGATTGCCATCCTCAGACAGATACAGGCCCAGCACACTCTCTTTGTGTGCATGAACGGAATAGACGAGATCGTATGTCTCGAGCGACCACGCCTGGAAAAAGTCAGAATATGAATAATTTACTTGAAACTTCGAGGCAATAGCTCCACGTAGGAATAAGATTCGAGAATCCCCGAGAAAGAAGCAATTGCAGGCGACTTACCACAATGTCACCACCTTGCAAACCGGCAAAGACGCACTCCTCGTCAATGACCAAGGCAAGAACCGAGCGACTAGCCAGGACACGGTGACCTATTCCGCAATCACTCTGAGGGTGCAATGCACTACCGGCATCGTCGGCAGATGGGGTTGGTGATCGCGCGTCCGATCCCCAGGACTTGGAGTGGTCCTCCAACTCCGAGGTGCTTCCTGAATCCGCTGGATCCATCGCCAGTCAGCCAGGACCAAAAGCAAATAAGAATATAAACCAAAAGGCCAAGAATAAATCAAAGGGAAGCGGTCAATTCCAATTCATCCAAGACAATTGTTGATCAATTGGCCACTCCGGGGAGGGAAATCTGGGGGAGAAGAAGGTGTGGGCAATTGCAAAATGGAAATGAATCATCGGCGGTGGCGGTGCGGGAACAACAAAAAATCACATCCCCCCTACAAAACATTGCATTGCACCATCGCCAAAGTATTCGACTCACCACCCCTAGCATATCCGTATCGCTTGTGATTCCAGCAACAGGCGGGTCTAAAAAAAGGAGAGGCTCTTGGTCAGTGAGTGTAGGATTCGCCCAGGTCGGATATGATCTGCCTTTAGTCGTGACCGCTGCGGTCGCATAGCTCCGATCGCTGGGGCTGGGCTGGGCTGGGCTGGGGGATAGGAGCGTTTTTTCAACGACAAAAGTGGACTCACCGAGGCTCCCATAGAAGGCGTGCTATGGGAGATTGAGGAGATTGTTGGGGACTGCTGAGCACGGTCATTATTGGGGATCACGTTTTAGGAGGATGGCTGTGGCAGGTAAAGTGAGGGCGACAGCGACAGCGACGGTGGACGTGATAGATCTGAATGTGAACATGACCTATCGTATAGTTCATGGATCTTGTCAACTTCCAGATGGAATATGGAAATGGAACTGGAAATGAAGTGGAATGGAATGGAAGTAGAAATGGAAGCCAAGTCCAGGCATGACAGAAGCAACTACACCGACGGTGATCGACCGGGAGATAAGCCAGATGACCTTCCCCTGAGGTGTTTCATTGCCTGTTTGTTTCTGTTGTCTATTGGTACATACGTCCTATACGTGGTAGGGACAGTCTATAAGGGGAATCCATGACTCCGTGGTGACGAAGCCATCAGTTGCACAGGGATGGCACCATTTGTCGCCATCGCCAGAATTGCAATCGGGTAGTCTGTCAGTTTGTTCATTCCGCAGAGTACTAGATGATGGACTACTTAACTATACTTAGTACTAGAAACAGGCAGTAACATAGCAGCCAGTTATAGAGGCATATGTGCACTAAAGTACAGTGCAGCACCGCCACTGTGGCTGGTACTTAGTCATACTCAGCTGATGATAAGTACCAGCCACAGTGGCGGTCACAGCACGGACCAATCAGCGAGCGGGGGTCACCGCTGTTTGTACTCCGCAGTAGACACCAACCATACATTAATGTACGGAGGACGGAGTACTCCATCGTACATTAACTATGGTTGGTACCTTGTTCAAGTACCCAGTAGACCCAGTAGCTAACTATAGCTATCTCTAGAGATGGTGCAAGCTCCGCTCTTTAATTAATATCCACGCAGACTTTTCAGGAACCATCGGTCAGCTCTGCCGTCCATAGGAACTCCCTCCTAGTATAAGTACGAGTACCGAGTACCGGTAACCACCAAGAGAAGTAGTACAGTAGTGATAGTCTCATCACACAGAACATCAGCGCCAATTCAAGATTTGCGCATAGCAAATTTTGCGCAAATCACACCCCGCCAACAATCCCGAGTCTCCCCACTGCGCGGTCTGCGCGCTCTGCTGCCCATTTTGCTCTGCTGTGCCCAGCCTTAGATTCGCTTCTGCCTTCGCATCACTGGCAACCCGACTCTGCCTACGAACGATCAGAATCCGCTCCGCTGTTCGCTGTTCGCTGCTCTGCCCAACTGCTGTAACCCGCCCTGCACGCTGATGCCATCGCCCCCAGCCACCACGCTCGCATCACTTTTTCCCCAGCTTTAAGAGGAACTGCTCAGTACCTTTTCACTTTTTCCGATCGGATTTCGCCGCTGATCTTTTTCTCCTTTTTGTCCCTTTTCATCCCTAATTCTGCCTTGATTGAATCCTCTTGGGCATTGCTGCCGATTTTCCGATCCTTCTCGATTTTCACTTTTTTATACGAGGCTGCCGCGCAAACCAGTTTTCTTTCAGTGCTCAGAGTACTCCCCTGAAGCTGTACCAAAGTACCCCAAGGTACCTCCGCCATTTATATCTGGCCCAGTACCCCTGGACATTCTACACACCGCTACCTTCCACCATCCTGGGAAATCCTCTCTTTCAACCTGCCGATCTCGCCCATCTGATGAGTGATCTTCCTTGCCCGGCAGTCATCAAAGACTATTCTCTGCGATGGCGCCGCTAGGCCAAACGATAGCCGTGATTGATAAATCCGGCAAAGTCGTCAGCACTGTAAGTATCATGCAAGGCCCCTCTTCCCTTCTCTCTCTCTCTCTCTCTCTCTCTCTCTATACTATAGTGGGACCTGTCTGTCCGATTCTAATCCGCTCCCTCTAGAGCAAGCAGCTTTTTGGTGTATTCAGCCAGGCTAAACAAGCTTATCGCGAGCGAAAGTCCCACTTTGATTCGGAGCGCAGTGCCAAGATCGCAGAGCAGCAGGCTCTCCAGGGTCTCGCCAACTACCAGATCGATGATGCACCTTCAGAACGATCAGGGCGCAGTCGCGGAACAAGGTCTCGCCATCATTCAACGCGGCATCGCTCTCGGGCTCCTTCGCACTATGAGCAGGACTTACACTCTGTAGCGCCCAGCCGAGCGGGGTCTCGATATGCTCCCTCGCAGGCTATCGCCCGCCGGCATACCCACCACGATGTCACAACCCGGGAACCCTCTCGCCCAGAGACCGCTCGGTCCAAGTCCGATGCCCATATAGATATGGATCTTGCATATGGAGAGGCCCACCCAGAGGCCCTCTCAAAATATGATCCGGTTCCTGCTGGGGATGAGAAGCAGCAACTGAATGGACTGGTCGATCGGGCCCAGTGGCTTCTAGAAGAAGCACACTGTGTCCAACATAGCGCTACCGCAACCATCTCCCACCTTCAAAAGAACCCCGATGCCATGGCCGCAGTCGCCCTCACTCTTGCCGAAATTAGCAACCTAGCTAGCAAAATGGGCCCGGCTGCACTCTCTGCTTTCAAAGCTGGTGCACCATCCGTTTTTGCATTACTTGCCAGCCCCCAATTCCTCATCGCCGCCGGTGTCGGTCTTGGTGTCACCGTTGTCATGTTCGGCGGATACAAAATTATCAAGCAAATCAAGGCCGGCGCCACAACACCAACCACTACGACCGAGAAACAACAAACATCTACTGGAATGGATGAGATGATGGAGTTTGACGTCGAACACCTCAGCGGCGTCGAAATGTGGCGCAGAGGTGTCGCCGATATGGAAGCCGTTAGTTTGGGCACATCGGTGGACGGCGAGTTCATCACCCCCACGGCAGCCGCCATGTCTGGAATCGATGTCACAACCGCCCGTGCGGAGCGCGACCCCCGATTCAAATTCGATGAGGACGGTTCCGTCGCATCATCGCGTCGATCTCATCGCTCCCACCGTTCCCATCGCTCTCGAACCACGCGGGCGCAATCCGCAGCGCCAAGCAGTCGCTCAAAGAGGGAACCCGATACTACCTCTAAACCACCCACCTCCTTCTTCTCCAAATCTACAAAGGCCCCTCCCAAGCCTTCTACCAGGGCACCCAGCCGAGCACCGAGCCGAGCGCCCAGTCGAGCCCCATCCAAAGCCCCCTCCAAATCCTCTACATATGTGTCAGAGAAAGAAAGACCACCGAAGGATGCCAAGAAGAAGAAGGGCCCGAGTCGCTTGCGCCTCATGTTTACCGCTTAAATTCCCTACCCCGAAGACGTTTAGAGCCGCGAGGCCTTTTAGTGGACTTTCACACTGTACATTTTCAGCACACGACAGTTCGCATCATATATACTCCCAACTCCCCAGCATTCATGATAACGACCCAAACTTCACCTCACGTCTTATGCCGATTACCCCAATCGTTTTCGTTTTCGTTTTCGTTTTCGTTTTCCTTTCTATTTTCTTCTTATTCTTTTTCTTCTTCTTCTTCTTTGAGACCCTCAACTTCACGGCTAGCTGATTCTTATTCTGAACAAAAATTTGCTGTGAACATATTATTTTGGATTTTTGGCAAGCATATTTTGGCGTTGTGGAATATCATTTCATTTCATTTCTTACTGATACTATCGGAGACGGTTGGATCAAATCCAGCGCCTTTAGATGACAAAAATGCAAATAAGCGATTTGAAAGAACCTTGTCGGGAAAACAGTAAAGATTTCAAAAATATCTAAAGCTTACTAGACCTCCAATAGTTTGCATATCCTAGTGTTCTTCCTTCTTTCCAGCCTTCGCATTTACTGCATCTAAGTGAGCCGCCTCTCGAATCAAACACTGATATGACTCAAACTTGCGAGCCGGAACTCGAGCCGCAAAAATCTCATCCAACTCCTCTAAAGACCGACCTTTCATCTCTGGCATAAAGAAGTAGAAAAATACTACACAAAGGAAATTGGATGCTGTCCAAATGTATCCATATCGGGCTCCCTGCATAATCCTGTCAGTGCCAGGTCCACCGAGAAAACAGACTATTACATCATGACCACTCACCCAATTCAGATGTTCCGGATTAATAAAATAAGGCGTACAGAAATTCACCAGCCAGGCGAGTAAATACCCCAGCGAGGTAGCAGTCCCAACCGTCCAAGCTCGCAACCTCGAACTCACCAATTCCGTCGCAACGGGGTAGCTCGCAGCCCCAACACAACCATTATAAAAGAACATGAACAATGCCGTGAACGCCACAAGCGTCTGGCCTGTCTGCAAGGAGTTGGGGCTCACAGACGCCGCGATCGCACTGGCCAGTTGACAAAGTCCGCAGGCGATGGCGCCAAGCATGAGTATTGAGCGACGTCCGAGCCATTCCCGGATGGCGTACATTCCGATATTGACACCCAGAAAGCCGAAGCAGGTATTCATGATGGAGAATTCAAATGCTTTTGCAATACCGCATACGGTGAAAAAGTATGTTTGGTAGCCGATGAGAAACCAGACGCCTGAGGCTGTTTGGCACCCGATCATGCAGTAGCAGAGGATTGTTCGGCGAAGTTCGACGCCTGAAGATAATGTTAGTCTTGACCAAACTCATTCTCGGTTTGAAAAATACTCACCTCGGAACATGTCCAGCGCAGCGACATCTCCTTGCGTGCGCTTCTCTTCTTCAACGCCCTTGACCATTTCCGCCCACTCAACCTCCAGTAAAGACGGAATGACAGTCGTGCTTCCAACACTCCCATTCTCATCCCCACTATCATCTCCCCCGGTAGTGGCAAGGAGCTTCGCATAACTCGACCCTCGAAGCTGCTCCAACGCCTTTCTCGCTGCCCCCTCTTTGCCCCGATGAAGTAACCAGCGCGGACTTTCCGGAACAAAGAATAAAGCCACGAAGAGAAGTGCCGGAACAACATAAAGACAAGCCAGAGGGATCCTGTATGATAACGCATCCATCCGTTCTTTAGTCTTATTATCCACCACAGCACCCATAATACTCCCGATATTCACCCAATAAGCGAACAACGCGACCATCACTCCGCGCATGTGCGCCGGTGCTGCCTCTGCGGTGTAAATATTAGAGAACGTCACGAGAAAGCCATTGGCGAAGCCCAGCAGTAGTCGACCTAGATATAAGACCCCGGCGGAAGAAGTTCCGATTTGGATACCACATGCTACGGCGTTGACGATGCAAGCAAGCCAGAGGGCTTGGCGACGGCCTAGATATGAGGAGAAAAATCCCGCAACAAGAGATGAAACGAAGGATCCCAATGTAAGGAGGGATGTAATCAGCTGCTGTACTGTACTCTAACGTGGGATTTAGGTTAGACCAGTTCTGAGAGTTGCAAGATTGGAATTGTTTACTGGTATTTACTCACATCAATCGCGTACCCGGTGTCACTATCTGGCGATGGGTACCCAAACACCTTAAGAAACCCAGGCATCGCTTGCAACGATCCCACCGCGGCAAGGTCAAATCCATATTGCATATTCGCCATGGAAACAAGACAGCAGAGAAGAAGACATTTCCGATTCTGCCATAGCGTAGTCGAGGACAAGGTTTGATCCATGGCGAAGATGTTGCAACTTGAAGCCCAGTCTTCCAATGCCGGAAGTGGAGTGCAGAGCAGGAGGAGTCAATTGAAGAAGAAAGTACAACTGACATATAACGAAGTTGCTCATCGCTCGGCTGAAGGAATTCCAGCACTACCGAGAATCGCGAGAGGGGTTAAGCCACATTCCAATGGTTCTCATCCCCAATACGCCGAAATAAGTGAGCTTTCCCTAGATTAAGAAATCGATCTGCTTGGTTCTGCGGTCTAATACAAAACAAGTCGAATGACTGCCCCCCACACCCCGCAAATTGGTTCAATGGCTTGGGAAATCTGGGGCTGGCGGCCCCACTGAACCTGGGGTATTGAGACATGTTTAAGACCTAAATTCGATGGGAGGTGATATGGTTGCTCTCCTAGTGCTAGCAACAAGAGAAGGTACTGCATTCAAAGGGTGTGAATGCATGATGCGTCAAAAGTCGAAGCTCTACCACCAGTCTCAACATCCACTCTCCGTGTAAACAAACCATCCGAGACACGACCAAAAGGCCGCTGTTTGGCAATACTCTCTTGAGCTCCAAGATGTGGGGCTATGGATGAATACAAGGCACATTCATGCATCTGGGCCATGTTCTCCCCGGTGCGGCACCTTATACTTCTCCGGGTTTAATGTCTGGAGGTGGGGTTTGCGTCAGTCGCTGGTCCCATTGAGCTTGAGGATAATCTTGAACACAGTCCTTTCCATTGGCGCCCGCAAACATCTCTGGTACTAATACTAATACATTGTCTCTGCACTTTTGAAGGCTGAGTTTCTACTGACGTCCTTTGCCCCAGGCCTTCTAGCTACTACCGTGACAGTGACCAGGTCAATATGATTGTGGAAAAGACCGGGGAGCTTCTCTCTCTAGTTCAGGCCCAGCTACTTCTCTCTGGATCATTATGGAACAAGACGAGCTTTCTCACAATAATTTCTTCATTACTGACAGGCTTGCTCTTGCTTCTCTTGGTCGACTATGGACGTATGCTCTATTTGCACTTCAATATGGTACGCAGATATTTGAACACTCTGGATCTGAGGCCCATGCCTTGGTTGGAAAGATGTTCTAACTACTCAACAGCCGCCAGGTCCATTTCCACTACCCCTGATTGGAAATACACACTTACTACCCGACGAAAAGCCATGGATCTACTTCGAGAAACTAGCAAAACAATACAACACACCCATGATAACATTTTGGACGGGACGAAGACCAACAATCTGGATCTGCGATGCATGGGCCGCAAGTGAACTTCTCGATAAACGCGCCGCGATATATGCCTCTCGACCACGCATGGTAGTCTTCAGCGAGCTGGGCGCAGGACAATCCAATCTCGTCAACATGTACTACGGCGACAGGTGGAGACTACATCGAAAACTGACACATATGGGAGTGGGCCTTCAACAGGTAAGAAATTATCGTGGTTTCCAGAATGACGAGAGCAAAGTTGTTGCTTTTGATCTGTTGCAAGAACCGAAGGAATACGTGAAGCACTTTGAACGGTATGCGACAAGTGTTGTCTCAATTATTGGGTTTGGTAGGCGCGTTGCTACCTTCACCGATCCGATTATCACGGAGGTCATTGCTGTCATGCAGCGGGCTGCTGAGCTTAATGTTCCTGGGAAGTCATTCCCGATGTTGATGGAGTCGTTTCCATGTGAGTCTAAGTCCGCCATGTCCATTTGGACAATCCTCTAGAAAGCTACATGTCTAATATTTTTCCAGTCCTAGCAAGATTTCCAAACTGGATGGCACCCTGGAAGCAAGGATTAGGAAAAGGACAAGGAAGAGGCCGCCCATTTTTCTACGCACTGGCCGAAGAAGCCGCAACAAACCCAAACGCAGCACAGAGCTATGCGAAGAAGATATTCGATGAAGCACCCAAGCACAACCTGACCCGAATGGAGATCTCCTCACTTTCGGGGAATTTATTCGGAGCCGGAAGTGACACGTCGAGCTCCACGCTAGTGACATTCGTCCTGGCATGTTGTGCTTTCCCTGAAACGCTAGCCAAGGCATGGGAGGAACTTGACAGGGTGGTGGGACCACACCGGAGCCCGACATTCCAGGATGAATCAGACCTTCCGTACATCAAAGCTTTTGTCAAAGAAGTATTGCGGTGGCGATCGGTCGCGATTATAGGTGGCCAACCACACGCGCCGATCAAGGACGATCATTATAAGGTAAATGGCCAAGCATCCGTCCCTGCCGCTCCAAGCGGGTTATATCCTCCACTATTTAGCCTGCGCGGCTCGCTGTGACTGAGTGATTGGTTGCTGATAAGATGGATAAATCTAGGGCTGGTTAATCCCGCGGAATACATGGGTCCAGGGGAATGTCTGGGCTATTCACCACCATGAGCGAGAATTCCCGGATCCAGATCGCTTCAATCCGGATCGGTATATCGAGGATAGTCCCGAGTCTCGTCCATTCCCTGGTGAGAAGGGTTATATGACCTTCGGATGGGGCAGACGGGTCTGCAGCGGACAGGGGCTGGCGGAGCAAGGGACGTTTATTACCATTGCGAGACTGCTTTGGGGGTTCAGGATCGAGAAAGCGTTGGATGGAGAGGGTAATGAAATTCCAGTGGACATATTTGATTACACGTGAGTTGTTTTGTTTTGTGCATGTTTCAGGTTTTCATTTGATCCTTCGGTGAACTGATTGCCGGACCTTTGCCTCGTGTCGGTACAGAAATGGCCTCAATATGCGCCCTAACCCTTTCGAATGTCGAATCACTCCTCGGAGTCCGGAAATCCGTGCAGCAATTGAGAGGGAGGGCAGGCAGGCGTTGCAAGATCTTTCCCAATACGACGGCGAGTCTCAGTACCGCATGAGCACATTTTATGCCAAGGAGAATCTGTGAAAAAGCTTTCGAGATTGCATCTTAACGGCCCAAGGGGGTTTGTTTCTGATCTGGATAACTGCATATTTGGAGGACCGCCATATCATATGCAGGTGGAAACAGAGTGAGACATGCCGAGCTCGGCGTCCTCAGGAGGATCCCTCTCTTCTGCTTGTGGAGACAGACCGCTGTGTGGAGACGGCGCAATAGAAGACGGCGTCGCAGCATCAATGATGATGAGATTCTAACATGATGTTGTCAATTTTTATACCATCTGTCCTTTTTCTTGGTGGGGTTGGGCTCAATTGCCTTGACTTCGCGGAGAAATCGTGTTTATAGATCCGATGTGGTAACCAGAGCGTGGATGACTTGCATTTAATTATCATTGACCTATGATATTCGGGAAAGATGACCCCATTGATCTTTGTTCGCTCACCTCCGAAATGAAGTCTATGAATTCGTGTGCAATTGGTCCATCCACATCGGCTATCTCGCCAGAGCAGCACATAACTGGCATGAGCATCCCGGATTTTGTAGGATCACTACATAGGTCGGCATTGTAATCCTGTAGTATATGCCGTGATGACAGGAAAAGGAAGCACTAGGCGTGTACGAGTATCACAAGATCAGTAATGTCGGGGAAGAGGAGGACCAGACGTGGGTCTACAGTATATCCCCGTACTAGCGAGATAGGGAAGCGGCTGTTCGGCAGATGTGCCAGAGTGAAACAGCCGGATTAGCCAAGTTGGCTCCCCAGAATAAAAGACTTGCGGGCCAATGACTGCGTAGGATCCACCCGGATCGCCCTTGCTGGCGAGTGCCGCGTCGTCTTGGGCTTCCGAGTGCCACGCCACAAATTCAAGAGATAAAAAAAAAGAAATCCGGTGAATGTTTTGCTCCTTGCGCGAGATCTGTATTTAGTTAGAAATATTCATTCGGGTTGGTCCGTTGCAGTCAATTGTAAGACCTTGATAGTATGATCGCTCGGCTTGCCTTGGCCAAAATTCACCCGTTAGACCCGCAGGAGCCGCCAACTACCGTCTTCAAATGCTCCGGACCTAGACCGAACATGGCAGACACGCGTGAGAAAGAAAATAAGCCCAAGGTATCTCATTTTGTGCATTCGTGCTTGATCTGCGGGGGAAAAAAAGAGGGTCACGTTCCATTGACCCATCGGGGAAGCCCCTATACCCTCAAGGGTTAGGATTGTCGGTGGTAGAGTATTAAATAAAGATAGACCTCTGCTCTACCCGGAGAATTGGAGTGTACCTATGGCACGGGTGGGACGGCAAACCTTCGGACTACTAATCTCGGGAATAATTTTCAGAAATAGCCACCCCAAGGCTTGGTTTGAGGTCCAGATCCACCACCGGGTTTCATTCTACCATCCCCCGGAACTTTCTCTCTTTATCACATATTGGAGATCAAGGGTCTGCTTCTGTACATTCTACAGGCCATTGGTTCATCATGGCTGTCCCAAAGGCAAATGTGCCTCTGGATGTGATCGTTGTCGGGTAAGAAGCCCCTGCTTTTCTTTTCTGGAATTTATGACCAAGAGCTAATCATCAACAGGGCGGGTATGTTTTCCGATATCGCATGAAGATGCGAACGAGCTATGCAAAGAAGTCAATTGACATTCTTTTATAGGCATTGGCGGCATGGCCGCAGCCCTGACGCTAGGCTTGCGGGGACATCGAGTCACAGTGCTCGAGGCCGCGCCGAAGGTATGCCTTTCATATTGCCACATTTGAAGACAATCGCTGACAAGATGAAGCTCATGGAGGTTGGAGCTGGTATCCAAGTTTCTCCGAACATGTTGCGTCTTTTTGACCGTTAGTGAACCATCATTTACTCCTAATATTTGATTGACATCTAACATTCCTTCAGGTTGGGGTGTCTCAGACTTGATCCACGCTCAAGATGTGGCTTTAGAACATATCCATGTACGACGGTGGGAGGATGGAAGACTCCTCGGTACCATGCCTGTGAACAAGACGTTTGGCCAACAGGTGGTTATTCACCGTGCCGACTTGCACAACGCCCTTATCGAGAAAGCATTGGCCCTCGATAATGTTAAATTGCGAGAGAATTGCTTTGTTTCAAGCGTCGATTTTAGCCCTGCATCCGTCACACTCGCTGACGGCACCGTCGTTCGCGGGGATATTGTCATCGGCGCCGACGGCATCAAGTCTACCATACGTGGCCACCTGTTGGAAGACCCAAATATCGATGCCATTGCCACTGGAGACGCGGCATACCGGATCATGCTACCCCGCAGCATCATGGAGAAAGACTCAGAGCTGAAGAAGCTTATCGACGAGCCCCAAGCGACTCGCTGGCTGGGCCCTGCGCGCCACATAATCGCTTACCCGGTACGCAGTCATGAGTTGTACAACGTCGTTTTGCTTCACCCAGACCGGCAAGAGGTTGAGGAGTCGTGGACCACAAAGGGCTCGAAGCAAGCAATGGTCGATCACTACACAGGGTGGGATCCTATTGTCCGAAAGCTTATCGACCTAGTTGTGGAAGACGAGGTTCTCGAATGGAAGCTGTGTCTCCATCGGCCACTACGAACTTGGATCCGGGGTTCAGTCGCGCTGATTGGCGACGCGTGCCATCCGATGCTGTACGTTGAAAGCATGTTGCCACTAAATAATCGAGCAAAGCTAACGATATCAGGCCCTATGTCGCACAAGGAGCGGCCCAAGCCGTCGAAGATGCAGCTGCGCTGGGCGTCCTATTGTCCAATATCACGTCGCGACATGAGATCCCGAGCGCCTTGCAGGTGTATGAGAAAACCAGAAAACAACGCGCAGAGACTGTGCAGCAGTCTGGCACTGAGAACCGAGTCGCACTGCATCTGGCCGATGGACCCGCGCAGCTCGTCCGTGACGAACAGTTCCTGGCATCAGCAAACGGATCCAACCCGGACAAATGGAATGATCGCGAGACGCAGAACTTTCTCTGGGGGTGGGATGCCGAGAAGGTGGCACTGGATGCCTGGAACGGTACGCAATTCCGTCTCTTGTGTTGCTCACGAAATGCTAACCCCTATCCGACAGAGTTGGTAAAGGGTGAAAAGATGAACGCCAGCTTGTAAGAGATGAACGAACCGCATACGACCATATTCAACATAGAGCGCCATTGCATTATAGCCTGTTTAGAAGTGCCATTTGGCTGTGGGTAAATAGCCATTAGAAGTGTATATAATCTTATAAATCTGAAATATTCATCATATCATTCTCTGCCAAGTCTTGATTTCCGTCATGGTTGGGGAAATCGGACCTTGATATAATATTTTCCATATTTACTTGAGAAGGGCAGCAACGCAGCTACTAGTACCTACCTAGGTAGGTACGTGCGAGAGCGCCCCTTCTCCGGGAAGCATATAAACAGCTTCAAAACATATAGAAAATTTTAATATTAGGGTTACCTGGAATACGAGGCTAGGAGGCTACCTAGCACTTGAACCGACGATCCTACCATACCATTGTTGCATGGGTATTACATGGAAAGGCATATCGATGCGGCCATGCCAAGAAGTTTTTTTGGTTAGTGGCGTGAGCAGACCAATTGGGATGAAATCGATTACGATGAAGGGAAAAGCCCTCAGAGCAATAGCTAACACTAAATACTACTACTACAAAAGACAAATACAACATAAAAGCCACAAAGACCGCAACCATGTGTTGGCTGACAGAGCCGCAGCAGGCCTGAGGCCCTAGGGCCTCAGTTGTTGGTTAATATGAGGCTCTCGGGTACGATGAAAGACAAAAGCAGCATTGCAGTGATATTCGTGTTTGATACGAAGTACGAGGAGAAAGCGAGTTCTCGACAGCCAGATACAGAACAGATTCCTTAGATGCCCTAGGGCATCCACAGCAACAAATATGCAATTGAGTAACTAATAGTCAAGCTGTGAAAACATCCATGTAGTTGTAATCGCTTGAGTCGTCAAGAGCTTAATCCAGGGCGCTAAGGATAGAAATCATGTTGCCAAGAATAGAACATATCTTGTCAATGAAGTTCAGTACGGCGGGGGCGGGGGGTCATTGATCTCAGAAAGAAGGCGGTTCCTTTCAGAAAGAATGCTATTTGTCTCAGAACGGAGGCGGTTGTTCTCCTCGATGAGGTGATTATTGTTAGAAACCAGGGACTCTCTCTCGGCAGTGAGGCGATTATGCTCAGAAAGGACAAAGTCTGCGTAGAGCAATTTCAGAGAAGGCTCAGAAACGAGATCATGGTCCGCTGGGAGAGAGTCGATCCACTCTTCGGTGCCCTTAGTGACCTATATGGCAACCAGAGATAGATAATAGACGTGGCGGCGAAAAAAGGGGCCAGAGGCTTCCTGTGCTTTTTCTAGTGCGGCACACCAGCGATCAACGAAGTCTTGAGGGTCCTCGCCAAAGTAACGAAGCCCGAGAAAGTAGGGAAGTGAGGAGAACTGGGAGAACTTGAATAGAATAGAGCGGGTGGAAGAGCCAAATCTATTTTGGAGGCTCTGGTACGCGCTGAAAGCGTCGGCAGCAGCGTGAATGTGGCCCTCGTGAAGTTCGGGCATAGTGGTAGCATAGAGGCAGGAAATCAGTTTCTGTGAGCATTCATGCCATGCCATTACGGCAGTAGGGTCCGGCTGGGCCAGAACCGCAGGCTCAGTAGCATTGGCAGGAGTAGTGATAATGGGACCTAGCTTTTCGTATTCGCCGGTGAGACGTCGCGATAGCTTCGAGTCAACAGCCTCGAGTACAGATAGGAGGTTTCCGTTCCAAGTGGGCCAGTTTGCAATGCCCTTTAGCTTGGGAACAAACTTCATGACCGGAGGGGGGTGGTCCTCTACGCCAAGGCCGGTACGAGGCATAGTGGCGATGGTAACAATTGGCGGCGATGGGGGCAGTGTTGGCTGTGTCGATGGCCGGGATTAGATGGTAGAAGTCAATATGTTTTTTGAGATGAAAGACGAAGTGTTGGTGTTGGCAGGTTTTGTGGGTTTTGAAGGAAGTGAGAGAAGTGAGCAAAGTACTAAAGTGTGGGCAGGAAGGCAGTAACGTGCGAGTGCTCCTTCCCCGGGGACCATCCACGGGTGTAAACAATTAGGCAGCCTCGAAGGGCCTGGGAGTGCAAAGGTAGGGAAGGGGCGAGAACATCGAACCAACGAAGGCCCAAATCATGTACGTTGGATACGAAGAATTATAGGCTATCTAGATCATGATTAAAAGAGACCATTGCAATCGTTATACATAGGCGTAGAAACTTTTTTCGATTTCATTATACAATCATCTGATATGGGGATCATTCTGATCCGTCTCGGGTATGGTAGACATGAAACATAACCCAATACGTCCCCTTGTAGAAAGCCAGTGACGCTCAACATATGACAATCCAATCATTTTAGGAAGATATTTACATCTTCTCACCGGCAGCGGCCTTCATCTGGCCGTACTTCTTGAGGCGAATGGCAGACACGTTGATGAATCCAGTGGTCTCGGCGGGGAGAAGTCACCGATCTCGTCCATGCTGGATTCAGTCATGTCGTACAGCTTCTCGGTCTCGGAAGAGCGGCCGAGAACGGAGACAGTTCCCTTGTAGGCACGGCAGCGGACCTGGCCATTGACGCACTTCTGGGAAGCGGTGATGGAGGACTCGAGGAACTCACGCTCGGGGGAGAAGTACATGCCGTTGTACAGGAGCTGTTATAGAGTGAGCTAAAGCCGCATTGGCCACATTGGCCGCATTGGAAGGGTTACTGACCTTGGAGTAGTTGAAGGTGACGAACTGGTCACGGCAGGCACGGACCTCACGGTCCATAACAAGACCCTCAAGATCACTATTGTAATGAGTTAGTGCGAGGCTTATCAATCAATCGATCTGCGTGATAACTCACATGTGAGCAGCACGCAGGCAGGTGAGACTGGGGGTCTCGTAGCAGCCACGAGACTTGATACCGATGAAACGGTTCTCGACAATATCGATACGGCCAACACCGTTGCGGCGGGCGATAGCGTTGGCAGTCAGGAAGACGTCAACGGAGTCGGTGACGGCCTTCTTCTGGCCATTCTCGGTGTACTCAAGCTTGACGGGGATACCCTTCTCGAAGTGGACGGTGAAGTCCTCGGGCTGGTCAGGGGCGGTCAAGGGGTCCGCAGACAGCTTCCACATGTCGGGTGGGGGAGTGGTGTCAGGGTCCTCCAGGATACCGGCCTCGTAGGAGCAGTGGGCCAGGTTCTCATCCATACTCCAGGGCTTGGACTTGGTGGAGGTGACGGGGATGCCCTTCTCAGCGGCATAGGCAAGGAGATCGTTACGGCCGGCGAAACGCTCGTAGAAGACGGGGTCGCGCCACGGGGCGATAACCTTGATGGTGGGCTGCAGGGCGTAGAAAGCAAGCTCGAAACGAACCTGGTCGTTACCCTTACCAGTGCAGCCGTGGGAAACGGCGAAGCAGCCCTCGCGCTATTCGGAAAACTCCAGTTAGATATCGTCCTATATGCTGCCAATATGACCGATTTCTGTCTTACCTGGGCAACTTCGATCTGGGCACGGGCGATCACGGGGCGAGCGAGCGAGGTGCCTGTAATCATTGTGAGTGGATGGTCCTTTGCGAACAGATCGGAGGGAGGCATAGCAGGGGCATACCGAGCAGGTAAACGTTCTCGTAGACGGCGTTGCAAGCAATGGCAGGGAAGCACAGCTCATCAATGAACTCGCGGCGGATGTCGACAATCTCGCACTTCAGGGCACCGCACTGCAGGGCCTTGGTGCGGGCAGCCTCGAAGTCCTCTAGGATAATTGTTTAGTTACGGATCGCGAGTAGTCGAGTAAAGATAGGATGGCATACCCTCTTGACCAACATCGGCCACTATAAAATCCGAATTAGCATTTTGGAATTAGAATTGGTTCCAGCACTGTAGGTGACTCACTGAAGCAAACAACCTCATAGCCCTCCTCGATGAGGTACTTGACTGGAATTAAGCATCAGCATCCTCCATTGGGCAAGATATGGAGCTTTGAGAGATTCGTACGGATGCAGCTGGTGTCGAGACCACCAGAGTAGGCGAGGCAAACCTATTCGCGCAATGAGTCAGTGGATTCAGATTCGGAGTCGGGAAACTAGGCGGGCAAGGTGGAGGGACAAAGTGGGATGGAGTGGCGGTCTGAGTATGGAAATATGGAATTGCAACCGCGGCGGAGGCAATTGAGGTTACGCACCTTTCCTTTGCTCATTTTGAATAATTTGAAGCTGTGATATAGTAAAGGTCGAAAAAATATGTGGGGGATGAGTTGAAGAAGAATGAAAGTTGAGAGAGTTGAGTCACCCGGAAAAAATGACGGTTTTTTGGTGCGGGCTGGGGGGGCGCGTCTTGGCGCCGACACCGGCTGATAAGCCCTGATAATCAAACACGTCGATCTGCCATGAGTCCCACAGTCTGTACCTTGGGAGTCTCCATTGGCAATTAACAGGAGCCATTCCTATCTTCTAAATTAATATTTCCCAACCGAACAGCTGGCTGGATGTCTTGCATTATGCGGCTCCTGGATTTGACCCCACTATAGTGGTTCATTGGGAGAGTGAACGTGGACGAGCTGCCCCTCCAGCATTGGCAAACAGGTATGGAACTTGAGGAGAATTTTATTTCAATTTTATTTTTTCTGTATCAATTGGTTCTAGTGACACGGTCAATCGCAACTTTACCAATGACTAAATAGCAATATATGGATCCATCAACAGCTGGATGATCCGCCCCAGCTGGTCGGCTGCCAAGCCCGCTGGTGCCGTCATCGCCCTCCGCAAAAACTGTTTGGCTGGTTTGCATCTCGATCGGTTATTCGCGGCCTCCCCCGCAATCTCCAAGGTCCAAGGGCCGCCGGCTTTCTCTTTATAAGGAAAATCAAAGCAGGGGCATGACTTCCTCTATCACTTTACTCCCACTTCATCAACTTGAGACTCTGAAGATATGGTGTTAACCCGTGCATCGCGGGGCTTACTGCCACGAATTACTCACCGATCTTACTCGGCAGCTCCCTCACCCGCTGCAAAGCTCAATTTACCCATCGACTACAAATCCAGTCCCATCCTTCACCACACTCCCTCCTCACTTTCCAATAACCCAGATTTTCCAGCTGCCGCAACAACAAAACGGTTGAACTTCTTTCAAGCCATCAACTCGGCTCTACGAACTGCATTATCAACGTCGGATAAGGTTATGCTCTTTGGTGAAGATGTTGCCTTCGGCGGTGTCTTCCGGTGCTCTATGGATCTACAAACAGAATTCGGGGCAGATCGAGTCTTCAACACCCCATTGACTGAGCAAGGCATTGCCGGATTCGCTATCGGTGCGGCTGCTGAGGGCATGAAGCCCGTCGCGGAAATCCAGTTCGCCGACTACGTCTTTCCCGCATTTGACCAAATCGTCAACGAGGCAGCCAAATTTCGATATCGAGAAGGTGGCACGGGAATCAATGTGGGAGGACTCGTTATCCGAATGCCATGTGGCGCAGTTGGACATGGTGCACTGTATGTCTCTTTACACCTTGCAAATGCGAAAGCCTTCTAACTCACTCTACGAACAGATACCATTCCCAGTCCCCCGAGTCTCTCTTTGCACATATTCCGGGCGTTCGAGTAGTCATGCCACGATCTCCTTCTCAAGCTAAAGGCCTCCTCCTCTCCTCTATCTTCGAAAATAATGACCCCGTCGTCTTCATGGAGCCAAAGATTCTCTACCGCGCGGCGGTCGAACATGTCCCGAACGAATATTACACCATTCCTCTCAGTCAGGCTGAAGTGATCAAGCCTGGTACAGATCTTACCATTATCTCCTACGGTCAACCATTATACCTATGCTCGGCAGCCATCTCCGCCATCGAGAAGAAGATGAAGGGCGTGAACATCGAGCTGATTGACCTCCGTACAATCTACCCCTGGGATCGACAGACGGTTCTCGACAGTGTCCGCAAGACTGGAAGAGCTGTCGTGGTGCATGAGAGCATGATCAACTATGGTGTCGGAGCTGAGGTTGCTGCAACTATTCAAGACGGAGCTTTCCTTCGATTGGAAGCCCCAGTCAAGCGGGTTGCCGGCTGGAGTACCCATACCGGACTCTCATACGAACAATTCATTCTGCCAGACGTTGCTAGTACGTCACTTACGATTTATTTCCCTATTTGTCTAAGTTTACTAATCGGTGTGACTTCTTTAGGGATTTATGACGCTATCAAGCAAACCCTGGAATACTGAGCGACGCACGAAGCAAAAAAAAGGCCCCGGCCCATGACAATTTAAGGCCTTGAGGAAAACATGGCCACATCTTTCCCAAGTCGCATCAATTGTCCGGAACTACTCTACGAGATAGAAACTCCACGATAGGACAGAAGCCATACAACAGGGCGATCGACCGGATTTTACTCATCATACATTTTCTTGTGATAGAACGGTGGGATATTTTTAACGGATATTGAGCAGCATGCAGTCGGCCTTCGGCCGGCTTTTGATCTGTTCTGTTTTGCATGATTGTTGCGAACTGCTTTAAAAATGCTGTATCTTCCTGAATGTATCTTGGCAGAGTTCAATGACATAGAACCTTTTGTTTCTAGCTCCAGGGCTACCAATGCGTTCCAAATAAAATTCCCAGCTTCTTTTGTAAATGCAATCGCCCATCACTCACCTGGGTCACCAAGCAACTTGAATGGCGTGAATTCCATGTCGGTATGCGAGTGTTTGCCCCGATGGCTGTTGAGGAAGGTTTCGCGTCCCATGATGCTGCAGAACTCGCCGGCAGCTCCTAGGAATTAAATGTATATACAACCAAGGAAGAATGTGCGTTTCGGGCATAGTGACATGGAGAGATTCTAGCTCATTTGAACATATCACCATTCCGAGTCTCCGCTCATTTCTTCATAAATGGTAGCATGTCTTCCTTGAAATGATATGCTAGCAGGATACCTTGCACAATTCCGGGTAATAGTACGCGCGACAGGAGATACGAGCTCGTAATCCATCGCCCCCGATTTCTAAGACCCAGAAAACGGTCAAAATATTCCAATACACACCTCTGCAAGCGCAATTTGTCTCGGACCAGCACCCCTTCCCATTTCTTGTATTTTAGTTTGTGAGGGTGTTCGCGATCTGCCGGCAACAACCGACAAGAACTATATAAACTTGATCTCGAAATGTACTGACCCGGTCCTCCGAATATCAGACTCGGAATTCATCAATTCCGAAGTGAATCATATACCAAGCCAAAACGCTAGATCCTCGTGGTTTGAACTGGGGTTGAACCGATTGGAACATTAACTTGAAGGTATTACTATATAGTATTTGAGATGCCAGGAAATTCTCTACTAGGTACTAGTACCAACTACGATATATCCGGGATTCTGAAGGAAGGCTTGAAATATCACAAAATCAATATCATTGTGCACCCAAGGCAACTTCTCGGTAGTAGATATCTATACTTTCCAGGGAAGGTAAAAAGTCATGATTCATTATCTCGCCAATTCCGAGTGTCATTAAATACCCGGGCGCGGAGCATTCGTAAGACAGAACATAGGAAGGAATACTAGTCAGTAAATAGCTATTAAAGGGCCCATTGCTGACCGTATTACCAGTCACAATTTTATCAAATTTGAGTGCAAAGAATGCCCAACCACTTATAGTGCTTTTAAGATGATGTTCTCGTGTTCCGCGTTCCTCGTCCGTGGTTTTTTAGGCTCGCCAAGATCAAGTGCCGATTTGTGGTCCACATGGACACACGGACCACAAAAAAGCTTAATCGATCTATAAACTACGGACTACATCCAAAGACTCCAAATATCTTTGACTGTCTATTTTATGAGAAATGTTTAAACAAGAGACGAAAGGATCATGAAGAAGCTGGCCAGATGGTTGATCTCAAGTCCAAACTGGAGATGACCCATCTGCGCGGTCAGAAGCCTGAGGAGATTTTCAAGTTCTCCCTTCCCTGGCTGGCTGGGAAGTTCAGTGGATGATACGAGTCGCCAGTGTTCTCCGTTTGACTAGATGTAGGTCAGACGATGTTGTTAAATTTCTTTACATGGGGGTAGAATCGCGTGAGCTAGACTATACCAGAATTCGCATACGATCCTTTGCGTCACGCGTGGGATCAACTTGGAGCGTTCACCGTGGTAGAGTGGTTGTTCAGCAAAAGTAGGCAACGACAACAAAAGTGAATGTTTTTGAGGGCTAGGAAGGCGCAACCTCACTGTCGCGCCCAACAAGTACTAGCCTACCACCATATCCCAGCCCACTTCTCTTCTTCTCTTCCCTCCTCTCCTCACCTCACCTCACCTCGCCTTCGTCCATATTTGAGTCAAGGAGAAATGAACCATCCCATCAGCCTCTTTACTATTCTCAAGACCTCTTTCAACATATGTGACTATCTCATGGTCAAAATGGCCTCGATCATGTTTACCGCTGTCCACATCCTTCTCCCCATCCTTCTCCCCATCCTGTACCATCTCAGGATGCCCTTCGTGTGGTTCGCTACTGTCCAAGCGCTTCTTTCGAACCTAGATGGCACGATTAGCTCCAATTCCTTTTTTATGCTCCGAGTTCTTGTTGCATTCCTCGGCGGTCTCGTGGATACTCTGAGCCCTATATTACTCCGATATTTGCTCAACATCTTCAACTGGCGAATGGGCAAGATGGCCTCGATCTTGTTGTTCGTTCTCTACTTCCTTCTCTCCATCCTGTATCATATCATAATGGCCTTCGTCTGGTTCGCCATGGTCAAAGCGTTTCTTCCCAGCCTCGAGGGCAAGATCAGCCCTCATTCGTGCTATATGCTCCAGGACTTTTTCGCCCTCCCTGACGATCTCGTGGACAAGAGAATTCTTTCCATATTGAGCACGCTCCAGGCTCTCCTTGCCGCCGCCGGGTATTTTACGGATAAGATTATTCTTTTCCTGTCCTACATCATCGCCAACCTCGCCATCCTCGCCTCGAAAGCCCTCTCCTTTGTCCCGTTTATCGGTGTGTTGCTAGTTTTGTCCTACCTTTGGGTACAATCGGGATACACCGGACCAAATTTGAATCGGGACAAAGAGAGGCTTGAGACCGAGTACTGTGCGCCTGGCTTGTATCTATCCTCCAGCCAAATCGAGAGGTAAGCAGCATGGTATCTGCACTGTAGTAACAACAAATGCTAACAATAACACAGCGAGAGACCTGTTACATCTCCCACAGCCCTCCCGAACTCAAATCCTCGCCGTGCCAAAGACACAGGGTAAGTCGCACTATATTCCCGTACTCCATAAGATCAAATACCTAACAATGGAATAGGCGTCTTAGCACCAAAAAGATGCGAGTAGATCTCAAGAAGTGCCAGCAGGACCATGAGGCAACGAAAGCCTCCGGACAGGCTCAAGCGCTCATGATCAAGGACCTTGAGTCTGCCCGGGCCGAGGCACGAGCCCAAGTCCAGAAGCTCGAATTCGAAAACAGGAAGGGCGACCACAAGATCAGGGATATCCAAAAGTTCTGCGGCGAGCACGTCCAGAAGGTGAACGAGATGAACACCTACCTTCGCATGGAAGCTGCCAAGAGCGATGCCGAGAACAAGCAGCTCAAGGAGGGCATGCGATCCGAAAAAACTAGGGTTGAGAAGCTTCAGTCCGAGATGAAGATTCTTCAAGTCCAAAATTCCCAGTTTGCTCGCGAGAATGCCAGCCTCAAGAACGGCATGGCCAGGCTACAGGAGGTGTGCAGGAGTGCCGGGGAAGTCAATCCCCAGGCCGGCCCCTCTAAGCCTAAGTCACTGTCGGGGCAGCTGATATCTCAGGCCGAGAAGCGCCAGTGGGTGGTCACGAAGCGCAAGCGGGTGGATTACAGTAAGCGACTGAAGTCAGAAGAGGCCAAGCATTGGTCTCGGGCCAAAAAGCTCCAGTCCCAAAACACCCAGCTAGTGGCCGACAAAATCGAACTGGAGTCCCAAGTCTCCGAACTTCTGACGATGATCTCGAATGCCGATACCCAGGCTAGATCATCTGAAAGTTTAGGGATACTCCAGTCCGAGGTTGCCGACCTCAAGCGCCAACTCGCCCAGGTGGAGGCTAAAAAGGCCGAACTGGAGTCCCAAGTCTCCAATCCTCAGCCGATGGTCTTGAATGCCGACGGGGGTATCACCCAGCCGGCTAGATCACTTGAAGATAGGAAGATGCTTCAGTCCGAAGTCGCCGAACTCAAGCGCAAACTCGACCAGGGGGAGGAGAAAGCCACCAAACGGGTGCGGGGACTCGAGGCTGAAGTACAACGACTCAATTCTCTCGGACTAGAGCTTGAGTCCAAGTACAATACCCTCTGTCGCGACGATGAGACCCGCCGTCACGACCATGAGGCCCTTCATTCCACCCATGAGACCCTTTGTTCCGCCCACAAGGCCCTTCATTCCGACCATGAGGCTCTGAAGAGCCGAATGTCAACCCCAAACATCAACATAGGGACCATGACCATGGCCGAGTCCAGAGACGAGATAATCTCGGGGATGGAGAAGGAGATAGAGGAACTCCAGTCCAAGTTGTCCTCCCAGGACAAAGAGATGGATAACCTCAAGTCCGAGTTGACGGGAGTGAAATCCTCCCAGGCTAATAGCGCGAGCCAAGCGGGGGCGAGTGATATGCAACTCCGGATCGAACTTGATGAGTGCGAGGAGAAAATTGCAGCGCTGCAGACGGAGATCGAAAGGCGAGACAGTGAAACCAAAGCACTGGCGCAGGGATTCGACAAGAAAACCGAAGCGCTGAATTGTGAGCTGAATAAGCGAGAGGAGCAAAACAAAGCGTTTGAGCGTAAGCTTAAGTTCAAAGAAGCCGAGATAGAGCGTGAACTACGCCTCAGAGATACCGAGGCGAAGAACCGCGCCAGTGCGGTCGAGATGGAGCGACAATTCTTCAAATCTACCGGAGAAGAGCTCACTCGACGGTCAGGCGAGGTTGAGCGTTTCCAAAGTCTGTGTGATCAGCTTCACCGGTGCGTCGATGCAATGGATGGGCAGCTAGGAGGCCTTGCCGAAGCAGCAGACAACCAGAAGAAATTCCAGCGATTAATCGAGTACGACGAGTGGAAGGATACTCTCAAATCGACTGAGAAGAAATGGCGGGAAAACGAAGCTGTACTGAAATTATCTTCGTGGGAGTCTTCTCCCTGGTAAGGTGGAGTACGGAGTCCATACATATGGAAGTGCCAGTGGAAGTGCCCGTTTCCGTCCCGTGCATGTCAGTGCCAAGCGATGTGGAGACACCCGTGCCTCAAATCTCTGCCTCAGGTGTCCGCTGCCAAACCTAATTCATTCGGCTTGACATCCATCATCACCAGCACTTCTGCATTTGGCAGATTTCCCTTCAATTTTCTCGCCCTCTCCGTCACTTACCCCTCTCAGCCCTCTCGAAGCTCTCCGTGCTCCCTCTGTTCCACTCCCTCTCCCCGGCCCCATTATCGGACGGCGATGCTCACCTCGCAGTTGTAACACCCAACCCTCCCCGTCATTTCCCGACCGCGTTGATCGTCTCGTACCCGTGGTGTCATCTTATTCTACTTTGATTCTGCCTTGTCTCTTTGATTCCACCATTCGCTCTCCCGGCGATGGCTTCACCGGCAACGCGCGCCCTTGCTGCAAGGCCCATGGTCTTGGGTCTGGCCAGACTGATCGTCCTCACCTGTTCTCAACTTTCCCTCGCCGCCGGCGCCCCGGCTCTCTCAACCTACCTTCTCGCCTCCTCCGAATCTGATACTCCCAAAGAATCAACTGACTCGAGCTTATGGCTGTACCTCGGAATCTCCGCTGCCCTCGTTCTCAGTGGCGGGGCATTTGCGGGTCTGACAATCGCTCTGATGGGGCAGGATGAAGTTTACCTGCAAGTGATCCAAACATCCGGCGAGGAATCCGAAAAGAAAAATGCCGCCAGCGTTTTAAACCTCTTGAAAAGGGGCAAACACTGGGTGCTCGTGACCCTACTGCTCAGCAATGTCATCACAAATGAAACATTGCCCATTGTCCTCGACAGAACCCTCGGAGGTGGATGGCCGGCGGTCCTAGGCAGTACGGCACTGATCGTCATCTTCGGCGAAGTCGTTCCTCAATCAATTTGCGTCCGCTATGGCCTCCCGATCGGGGCTTGGATGGCTCCATGTGTTCTGATTCTTATGTACATCATGTCCCCGGTCGCCTGGCCGGTCGCAAAATTACTGGACAAGCTTCTTGGCGAGGATCATGGCACCATATACAAAAAGGCCGGTCTCAAGACTCTCGTCACTCTACACAGAACGCTCGGTGAAGCTGGAGAGCAATTGAATTCCGACGAAGTCACCATCATCAGCGCGGTTCTCGACCTCAAAGAAAAGTCCGTCGGCACCATCATGACCCCAATGGAAGATGTCTTTACTATGTCTGCCGATACTGTCCTGGACGAACGAACAATGGACCTCATCCTATCACAAGGATACTCTCGCATTCCAATTCATGCTCCCGATAACCCCATGAATTTCGTCGGTATGCTCTTGGTGAAAATGCTCATCACCTACGACCCAGAAGACGCCACGCGAGTTCGCGATTTTGCTTTGGCCACCCTTCCCGAGACAAGACCAGAAACAAGCTGTCTGGATATTGTCAACTTCTTCCAAGAAGGAAAATCACATATGGTCCTCGTTTCCTCATACCCCAGCGAAGACCGTGGCGCACTTGGTGTTGTTACTCTTGAAGATGTGATCGAAGAGCTTATTGGAGAGTATGTCATGCCCGTTCTTTCCATTTCTAGTGATCCAAGCACACTAACGTTGAATACAGAGAAATCATTGACGAATCCGATGTCTTTATCGATGTTCACAAGGCCATTCGTCGGATGGCCCTGCCCCTAAATCTCGTGTCCCAAAGGGCCAAATCGTCGAGGAACCCCCCATGGCGACCCCTCTTGCAGAAGGCGAACTTATTGATATGGATGGCACGTCTTCCTCCACTCCCAAGCCTGACATCCCACGCCGTCGCAGCTCTGTCGAGGCCCCTCCACCCCGATTCCAACTTCGTCGCCCCAATGGTGACAGCAACAACAAGCAGTCTGATCTATGGTTTACTCAGAGGGGTGCGACGGACGAGATCCGGCAACATCTCAAGCACCTAGGGCCTTCTAATTTGGCAAGCCGTCCGCGACAAACTCGATACCATAACGTCAAAATCAAGCGCAGCGGCGAGTCCCCTTCTCGTTCCGCACAAACAGACCTTGAATCCGGACATAGCCTGAATGAGTCCCATCTCCAATTGAACTCAACGGCTTATCAAGGTGGCATCGGCGCGGGCCTCGTGGGCTCAGGCGTCGATGCCAAAGACGGCGCGCATGCTTTGAAACTTGGTTACGGTACAATTTCTCCCCAAGACAGTCTCACAAAATCCACGAGTGCGCAGCAATTCAAAGATCTCCCCCAGGTCTCCATTCCAGAATCTGTCCGTGAAGAACGCGAGGATCAGCCCCGCTCTGCCTCAACCCGCCAAAACAGCAGTGGCACTGGTAGCGTCCGGTCCACCGAATCTCACACAGAATTTATCTATCATCACCGCGGACCAACTCGAAGCGGTAGCATTACTGAACAGATCGTGGATGTCAATGGTATCCGCAAAGTCGTTCTACACACAAACGGATCAGGCTCATCCTCCGAAGGCCAAACCTCCCCACATGATACTCGTGACTCGTCACCAAATCGCCGATATGCCACTGCTGATTCCCAGGGTGCTCAACATCCACACTCCAAAAAGCGTCGCCGTCGAAAGCATGGAAAACCCAAGTCCAAGAAGGACGGCTCTTCTGAAGACCAACCCCTTTTGCAATAATTGTGCTCCACATAAGCTAAATGCTTCAAGGCAAAGCCACAAGCAGCGATTCATTTGCTGTTCTTCTTATCAACACTAAATGCATCATCAATATCCCCTGCGAAGGTCAGTCAATGTTCAACCAGCACCCATTGTTGACTCAAACAATGCAATTCCGAACCTCACCACGCAATATTCATTTGTACTGTACCGGTTACTGTACAGCAAAAACAATCATCCTCACAAAACTGCGGGACGGGATACTTTCTACAAGAGTGCCTTTCTCATCACCGATCGAAAACAAGAGCATCCAAGCACCTCCACCTGTCAATATGCCATGTATCATTTCTAGAGTCACGTTTCGGAACCCCCACTCCCTTCTTCTCCCCAAAAAGATCGCGAAGTCTCCCCTTCGCAGCCTCAATGGGCCTCTCGAAGGCCAAACACAACATACCTCCACACAAGCCACCGTTTGATCCCTACTGGGATTGACTTATGTCATTTTCATTTTCATGGTCACAACTCGCGTCTTCAAAGCTGCGAGCTATTTATCCCCTTTGATGCTTGACTGGTCTCGCTGAGGCCAAGCACAAAATTCTTCGCAATCTACAGCTCCATACTTACCAGGATGGGATTGCTTTCAACTTGATACCCGAACAATTCAGCTTTTACCGACCCCTTCAGACGAATAGTGCGAAAACTATTCAGATTTCTATATCGCCCAATGCCCGCCTCCAGTGGATCCAATGTCCCCAAGACCCAGAACGCTTTGCCAACTCCCCCACAAAGCTCCTTGAAACCCCATTCCTCCTGCAGAGGCACATCTGAGAGTCCTGCTCAGGCGTTTGACACTCTCGGTGGCGATTATTGGAACCAAAAAAAAAAACCGAAACCAGGCAAAAAATGGGTTCACTACGTGGTGCAGCAAAACGAAACATGCAGCGACTCGGAAGCATCACAAACAAAAAAAGGAAAAAGAGAGAGAAGAGAAGAAGAAAAAAACAAAACAAAAAACAAAAAAAAGGTCGAGGGGGATTTGCTATCGAGCAGGTCTCACAAATCCCACCCCAGTGATATGAGGGCAGTTTCCTCTTTGTTAGAATAGAAACAATTCCCATGTTTACACCCGAGGATAGGGTCCCAAGGCAAGGTTGGGGATCATCTTGAGATTGGCGGAGGAATCGGAATGGGTAGCGCTGGCCGCTTCAAGGCAGTGGGATTGGTCTCGAAGAGACAGGGATGATTTTGTTTTGTGAGAAGGATGATATTTCTTAGGTGTTTTTCGGTTTCAACGGGAATATGTAAATACAGAAGGAAATGGCATTTTAAGCGAGGTATGGGAGCCGCAATATCATTATCGTCACATCATCTTTTCCATCATACTACTTGTAGTAAACTTACTTCTTTGACGAACTATTGAATTTAATACGACAGATTGCAGTCATGTCGAGGTGATAAGCTTGTCCGACGAGCGTGCTAGTAGTATAAACCGGTGTTTTTCCATGGCTGTTATCACTGGAGGTACACTACTCTACAGGCGAAGGATGAAGGAAAGGTACGCAAGGAAATTCATTTTTAGTCGGAGTGAAAATATCATCTAGTCATGAAACGCCCCCGAATGCACAAATATTCTCGCATATGCTAGCATGTAGTCGTTGTCGGTTCACCGTTCAGGCACCTACAAAACGACGTCTGTAGTTGTTCAACGCATCAATCGGCAGGGATGTAGAGGGGCCCCATTTGTACAGACCAGGCCTAAGGCCATGGAGGGAAATGGCTTGAGACGGGTAAAGGAGTGCCCCTGCTGTGGATGGTATTCTGGAAGCTGACTTGCTTCGAAGTCCTGATGTCGGGAGTCGAATCGACAGCAACGGACGAAGCTAATCAATTCAGAATGTTCGAAACCGAGGGATAGCATCGCCGAGGTAGATCAGGTTGATGAGAAACGCCATATATCCTGAATGCATCCAAATCCAAAATCGACCAGGCTCTTGAATAATGCCGGTGTATTGGCAGAGAACCAGCACGAGTGACGCAATCACTGCAGGAGAGGGTCGCGGAAGTGCTTTTGGTTGTTGCCGACTCTCTGGACGCGAGCCAGAATGCGGTTCTCCTGGCGTTGGGTACGGGTTCGCTCGCGGCGCTCGGCGGTCAAAGCAGCTTCTTTCTGGACTTGAGTTGCGCCAACCATACCCGTGCCACCGTTGGCACGAGAGATGAGAGCGCGGTTCTGGTTGCGACCGCGGGGCTTGTCGCTCTCGTCCTCTTCGATTTCTCCGTTCTCGATGGCCAGCTGTCGCTCAAGTCGCTCATCGGCAGTTGGGTAGCTGTGCAGGTTTTGACGGTAGTACTTG